TCAAAAAAGTACAATTGGGTTTCTCGTTAAGTATGTTGTTTATGCAGAGTCCATCAATAGAGCAGCCGACATATGCACTCCCAAATCTTTAACCTGAACAAAATTAGTTTCGTACATGAAAGTGAATAACTTTAAAAATTAACCGATTTTTCACCATGATAGTTCCAAAATAAATAATTATAATATTTTTTTATTTATCCAAAAAAATGTTAGCGGAAATAAGCTGAACCTGCCTGCCTTTTGTTGGATTTTAATATCATTATTACAGTCCTTCATAAGTCCACTGCTGAACATAGGCTTTTCCCAAAGAATGCCACAAAGCACGGTCCTGAGCCACCTGCATCCATCGACTTCTCTTACCAGTTCGTAACAATACGTACAATTTGCCGAATGGTGTGTATGTGGTCTATGATCCTAAATCCTTTTCGGAAACCAGCTTGTTCGGGAGGCTGGAAGTCGTCGAGTCTGCGTGCGAGACAATTCGTAATGACTCTCGAAAACAGCACGTAGATGCGGCTCAGAAGGGAAATCGGTCTGTAGTTTTTCAAGAGAGCGTTGTCGCCTTTCTTGAAGAACAAGACCACCGCACTACTGCTCTACGCCTCAGGAGGAGTGCTACCATGGAGAACTGAATTAAAGAGCTACAGAAGGACTTCAAGTACCTTTTTTCCACCCGCTTTCAGAAGTAATTACATCCTCACCTGGGGCCATGCCGTTTTTAAGGTGCTGGAGAGACATTCTAATCTCGTTCAGACTGACGTCCGGGATATCTTCGGATAAGACTCGCTCTTGGATCGTTACTCACAGTTGCGTGTGGCTCCAACGATGACGTGTACAGCTGCCCATAGAACCTCTCAACCTCATTCAAAATCTCATGTGTCCCGGAAACAATGCTACCACACTCGGTCTTCAGCTTTGACAGCTGGTTCTTTCTGGCAGACAGATTTTTTTAACTGCACCAAATTGTCATCATCTCTTTATGATTATCCACCCTCTGACATCCCTCGTCCAATAGACTTTAACTCCCTTCTAATCTTCATAAATACCTCTTTTGTATATAATTTAAGTGATTTTATTAACTCTAACAACATTAAACAATAATTTGTTTGTCATATAATTCGTATTGTTTTAACAACATTGTCTGTCTTTTGTTTTAGGTGATTCAGCAGACTATTTGACCAAAATCATTCACATAATATTCGTTGTTACCATTTCCTCTATTATTAATTTCTCTTTGTTAAGCAGAGTTTGGGTCTCAATTATACCTTTTCGCGTGTAACATGTCATTGGCAAATTCATCGTAACCGCCATAAAGGAAGAAGAAGAAGATCTCTGGCAAAGACTTTGGAGCCTTGGTTCCGTTCGAACGCTTCTTCAATACAAGCTGTATTGAAGTTGCGTAAGTCCCGTAAGATTTGTTGCTAAATATTTTAATATATAATTTAAATTTTAAAATTTTGTACAGCCGACTTCAATATAAGTTATTAAGAATAACTCAAAAACTATTAGTCTGACCTTGATCAAATTCATATGGGACCACTCGAGAAGTACCAGCTTTCAAATAAAAAAAAGAATCATCGAAATCAGTTCACCCAGTTAAAAGTTATGAGGTAACACACTTAAAAAAAACATACAGTCGAATTGAGTACCGTCTTCTTTTTGGAAGTCGGCAGAAAATGTATAAAATCCCAATACTCTGGAAAGGTAAGTTACCCATAAAATTAAACAATTTTCCCCAATAAATAGATCAGAAAGTTGTGTTTTCTAGTATTTATAACCACAAACTAAAAAGAAGCACTACAGTGCCTGTGCCATGGACGTCACATATAGTGTATTATCTATGATGTACGTACCTATTACCAGCTTATACTGAAAGTAAGATCGAATGATGTGCTTATGTGTTACTACCACTACTCCTTATATCCCATTTACACTCTCGCGCGAGCGACGAGGCGAGTCGCGAGGCGAGCCACGAGGCGCGAGTGTAAACGCTAGCTCGTGGCTCGCCTCGCAGCTCGCCTCGCCACTCGCGGCGCTCTCGTCGGAGGCGGTTTTTTGGACACGAGGCAAAGGGCCTCGCGAGGGACGCGAGCATGGTGTTTACACTCGCGTCTCGTTTCAGTTTGTTTACGGCGCCCTTCCATAATAACATTCGAATTGCTTTTGTTTTAAAATTACAATTTTATAAAATAATATTATTTAATCTTGCACAATAGGTACTAGCAATTTATATAAAATTATGAAACTGAAAAGGTTCTTTTTCGATGAATAATCAGCCGTCATATTTTTCATATTCTTCCTCAACGACGTATTTTTATTAATTTCCTTCTTTTTAAAATGGTCAGACATCGATACTTATTGAGGCAATAGTTGATGCCGCTATTATTTCGATGTCATTCATCGTTGCTGGCTCAACACAAACTGACCGCATCGCGAGAGTGTAAAGCGTTTATTACATTATTCAATTTTTAGAAAATCTAATTAGAAAGTTGGAAAATGTAATCGTAGTTAGAACATTAAGGATCCGATTAGGTTAAAGTTGGAGGTCCCGACCGCTCTACTTTCTAAATTGTCTTCTATTTAGTACAGTGTAATCGCAAGGTTACGATTTAGAACGACCAGTCGGCGCCTGCGCTTTGATCATAGAGTACATTGTATATACACGAAATTTGATCTAAGCGGATGTCTTGACTGCGCGTGCTACATTTGTTTGTTATGGCGAGTGAAGCGACAGAATTGAGCAGTCGTTCGTGTGGCATAGATATGGGCAATGTGTATCACTTAAAAGAAAAGATTGATATGTATCTTTTGATCACTTGGATATGTATCACTCTTTTATATCTTTATATCCTTATGTATCAGTAGATCAAGCTCGCTTTCACGACACGCATTGCATTACGTTGCGTTGCTCACTCAGCGTGGCTCGCTTCGCTCAACTCAATCCTATCAGTAAGAGTGATAGATAAGTACCTATAGAGCTGTTTGCATTTTGCTTAGTCGTAACATTGTGTATCTTTCTGATATATTTGTCTGTTGTTTTTTTCTAGGTATCTATTTGTTATGATTAAAAAATTAAAGTTTTTCTATTTCTCAGACATGCAGGTTTCCTCACGATGTTTTCCTTCATCGCCGAGCACGTGGTAAATCAGCACTTAAAATTGCAATTAACAATTTCATTGGTGCCGGCGGGGATCGAACCCGGGTTGCTTGCGTACTGTAAAACTTACAGCGAGCGCTGTTATTGTTATGATTGATAAATATTAATGGGCACTTATTCGAGAAATTAACTTAAATTTTTAGTTTAAAATAATAATTAAATTAATGATTAACGTAAATAACGTAGGTAGGGTAGGTATTGTTTGTATTAATTTGTAGAAAATATATATTATATAGTTTCGGCTTCTTGAAAACATGCCTGCTGCGTTGGCTGTCTTTTAGCTACGAGGGGTACTGTGGGGAAGGTTACCACAATTTCCAGCGGGTACATTTAGCATGTTCGCACAATAAAAGCATTTTGCTTTTTTTTTTGTTCTACTTCCTCAAAATGATTCCACACTGCGCTTTGTTTTCGTGAACCCATTTTTTTTTAATTAATAAAATACTAACTGCACAAAAAGACTATTTACACTTAAAATAAATGAAAAATTCACTAACTGTACGTACAGAACAAAAACACTTTAAACTATTTACACTGAATGTCTTATTTACCTACATTTAAATTAAATAGTCACTAAGTGTAGGTACAAAACAACTTCAAATATTTTTCTATTCGATGCAATTAACGCAAACAATATTACTCTCGTTCCCAAACCGAGATTAAGGTTGAACTAATGAAGCGAACAGATATATTTGTTTAATTTTGTAAATCACAAATCTTTGTTCTACTTTTTTTATGGATATAAACGACTATTAATTTCGATTATAAAACTTTTTTAAAAACTATGGTTTTATAACTGAAATTAGTTTGCATTGTTTACTAAAAAATTTATAGGCAAAGTACAAATAGGTACAGTTCAAACCAGTATAATACGTAAATGTTAACGTACCGCTTAATGACTTTAAGCCCTATGCACCAGTCATAGAGTTATCAATTTACCTTTTTGTGCTAGCGTATTACAGTTTATAATGGTCAAACAACTCACTCTCTCTGTCTTGCCAAAGTGCGACAGAACATTCTAAATAGTGACCTGCGAAAGAAAAGTCTGTACTATGGACTTTCCGAAATCTTCCTGGAACGACCGGCCGTGCCGGCCGAGGCATAATAAAAAGCAGTGTGCGCAATGTGCGACACAGATGTTAGAAAAAGTTAAAAGATGTCTTGAGTGGATATGTTGTAAAGATATACTGATACAGTGATACATTCGGATGCGGATGGATATAAAGAGTGATTGATGGAAACGGATTGATTCATATCTTTTGTATCTATCTCTCCTGAGTTACCCATCTCTAGCTGTGGCAGCATGCCCACAGAAAAAGAGGTGTTATTACAAATTATATATTCGTATATGGAAATATATTTGTATAATAAAAATGATAAAAACTATTTAAACAAAGCAATGCGTGGAGAGGGCTTCAAGGTGTTGTTAAATATTTACAAATACAATAACAAGTATTTTTTAACCCAGCATTTTCTCTTTTTTCATTTTTAATATCCATTGTTCCCGCCACGGCTAAGACAAGTCCTATTTTCTGCTGTTTTGATAAATACAGCGCCATCGATCAAACGTGCAACCACGTCGATACTTCTTTTACGAATGTGCTTCGTCACGATTTAGAATTCAATTAAGTGTAATGTGATCACTAGCTTCCAACTTAGGTTCCTTATTAGATTTTCTAAAATTTGAATAATGTAATAACCGCTTAAACAGGCACTCGTTACCTCACAACAACACGCGAGCAGCGAGGCGAGGTACGAAGCGAGCCGCGAGGCGAGAGTCTAAACGAGGTATTAGATTTTAAAAAGAAAATATGGTTCCTATAAATTATAACAGAGGGCGCCTGTTGTTGAAGTTGAAGTCTCAGAGGAATATGTTCCTGTACGGGAAAGTTGTAAATAGTTTTTGATAAAATTTCAACAAAACGAATTCTAAAAACGTAAGATAAATAATTTGTGACATAACTTATATAATGTGAGTGCGAAAAGTGATGGGAAACCATAAACTGTGTGCCTTATAAAACAAAAAGCTATCATCACATACTATACCCCAACGCCATTTTGAGGCGAAATTTTGTATTGTAAGTGCCAAGTATTTTACAATATTTTCGATTTTCATTATATTTGGGGCTTGTTAATGATAATTTCCAAAAAAAGTGAATGTGAAAGTTATTCATGCATGTACTTATCTATGTTAGAGTACATATGTGACGGTTAACAAGAGTGAGGAGGCATATAGGTGGGTTGCTGCGACGTCTAATCTAGAGCATTTAATTAGATTATAACACAGATGTATATCAATTGTCAGTATTAAACTGTCTGTTAGTTTAATTCTTGACATGTTCATAAAGTGCTATGGGCTGGATATAATGATTGTTAAAAATATGGCGTGGTCAATGTTATCGGTGGCGTTTCCGACTGTTGCAGATAGCGAGTAGCGCGGAGAATGGCCTGGGACGGCGGGAGCGTTCTAATTAACTGACGGACGCCACCGGCTTACAGCTGGCGCAAGCAGTATGTACCTTTTCTGCCTCTTTAAACAATCTAAAACAAAAAAATGTCAAACAACCATAGGTATTATGGGATTGAGATCAAACCTATCTTGTATTGACAGTAGATACCTGCATATAACACAATAAAAATACTAAGCATCACAACATATGTATAATGCATTTCTATATACTATTGGTCATAGGTCTAGATAGATGTACCAGCTGGCTATTATATTCATTGGAAGACTTGTATTGGTGGATACAGATCTGATACCTACACACTTGTAATGATGCTCAACATCACTAGCCCTTAAAAATTTCACTGTGTAGTTGCAGTGTAAGAATATCCACTACCACATGTTGTTTCATAGTTGTTATGAGAGACAAATAAACCACGAGATAGCAGTGTTTTCCAAAAACAATTAGAAAATAAAATAAACTGCAGTTGCTAACCCACTTGCCAAGCTTGGCAACCATGGTAAATATGGTGAATATCCACCTTGAGTTAATCTATGGCAAGGCCTATGTTGTGTTCAGCAATGGACTTTGACAGGTTTTTTTTAATAGGATAAGGGTGACAAACGAGCACACAGTTCACCTGATGGTAAGATGTTGCTGCGGCCCATAGACATCTACATCTATCCTCTATTACAAATCAAATTGCAGATGCGTTGTCATCCGTGAGAACTAAGATGGAATACATTATTTCCAGTAAAAAGGGTCTCCAGTTCTCCACACTCACCATACGAAACACAGCAGTGTTAAGCTGCTATTTTACGCTGGTATTTTGTGAGAGTGTGATCCTTCCTCGGTCGAGCCGACCTATTCGTGGTACAACTATACTACTAACTATAGCTGCAGCATGGCTCTACCACGTAAATAAAATTATTTATTAAAAGACATGTTTGCTCAAAAGTGATTTAACCAGACAGTAACCATTAGTGTTCAATTGATAAACTTTGCTTTCAAGTATTGTTGTTCATTCGGATCATTCTTAAAATCAAAGTTTTTACTATGAGTGATTAAACCAAAAATGCACAGTACATTCCTTTGTTGTATCCTCTCCAAATGCAACATTGATTTTGTGTCCTGTCTCTGCTATATAAAAGATTTATAATGTACCATGCAGCCATTATCTTTAAAGCCTATCATAATTCCACTGCTGAACACAAGCCTCCTCCATAGATTGCCTCAGGGGATATTTGCCATAGTGGATACAATAGTTGGCAACTAATTTTTTTTTTTATATGGCTGTTACGAGGAAGATGCTGCTTCCCATCTCCTTGTTCAGTTTGCCTCTGTAGCCTCTTAGACACCCAAGGGATGATCTAGGATAGAGGATATTCTTACACTGCTGCTACATGACCATGTTTGACCATAACCATGTAGTGCAGGCATGTATATGTCGGTATGTTAAGTTTTCTGAAGCTGCTTTGTGGAAACTATTTTATTGTTTTTAATTATTTGAAGTCTGCTTTTAACTGTTTACATTTATGCAAACAAAACATAAAATGGGTTGTTTATAAGTACAATTAAGTAAGTATTTATTTATTTAAAAAAAATAACAATAATGTATGTAATATTACATGTTCCTATTTTTGCTGATAGTTTTGTTACACATTTTATGACACACATGTCGCTTTGCCTATAAAAGAAGAAACTAATAAAATTAGCTTTTCTGTATGAACAGACGATAGTCTCATTCAGATTTAACAAATCATTTAAATAAGAACTATGTGTTGTCAAAAGATTTTCACTATTATTATTAATAATTGAAACAATACAAAATGCCTTTTTGGGTACATAGCCAAATATTAACATAACATATTTATTGTATTGTATTGTAGCCTTTTGTGAATACTAATATTATATAATGCACTTACAATTCATCAAAAAGATGTATATCAGGTTTTGCAGAAGTACAAGTAACAAGTAGTACTTAACATGCTCATAGCCTGTAGTTATACTGGCTCTTAAAAGTTAAAGTTGCAGCCTATATACGTCCGATTGCTGGGCACAGGCCTTCTCTCATTTCTGAGAGGGTTTTAGAGCAAGGAAGTGTCCACCGTGCTGCCCCAATACATGTTGGTGAACTTCACATCTTTGAAATATTTTTTTTTCTTATTTCTCAGACATGCCGGTCTCCTCACGATTTTTTCCTACATCGCCGAGCATGTGGCAAATCAGGACTTGAAATTGCAATTAACAATTTTATTGGTGCTGGCGAGGATCGAACCCGAGTTGCTCGTATAATGTGAAATTTACAGCGAGCGCTAATCATCTGAGCTACCACGGCTCTTATACCAACCTTAATCTCTCCTAAGCATAAAAGGAGCCAAAAAATCTAATAAATTTTGCTCATATTTACTTTATGCTCTGTAAGATATGCTAGATAAATAAGCCATAAGGCTCAGTAGCACGGTGGCCTACAAATTATTGTTCCATTTCTGCATGTTTGTCCATGTGCATTTTTTGTACTTCATTCATCATCCTTACAACCCATCACAAGTCTACACCTGAATATATGCATCCCCTAAGCAATGCCACCAATTTATTTTATTAGTACATGTATTTTAATAGAAGGTTTGAGGTAAAGAGGTTTGTTATGGGAGTTATATTGGGAATGTTTGGTGATGATTGTGTTAATGAGCAAAGATGGACCATAATAGATTTCATAATTGTGGATGGAAGAATGAGGAGCACAGTGGTACATACAAGGGTTTACTGGAGCTCCCACATAACAGATCATTACTTACAAGTCAGGTCATATGCTAGTTAAATATGGTGTATTTCAAGTTCATGACAATGGTCTGTGTCTTGTTACAGCATATAAGAAAATTTTTGGAAATCCAAAAGTGAAAAAAATAAATTGTATTCCTGACTTTTAAAATATATTATTTATGTGTTTTAAATTTAGCGCTCTATTATTTTGACAAGTAGTGTCACCTACAGGGAAGAAATTAATAATGTTTGCCAAAATGAATCAATTACACAAAGTATAAAATCAATATAGGCTGTATGGTAAATTTGTCCTTTGTCTATCAAGGGTTAAAAACAATATGAAAGCGCCTATAAATTTTTAATAGCAATAAAAGTTATAAAAGTTGAAAATCATTTTATTAACAAACAGAGCATTTATTTTTGTGGATAACAGTTTTGGTTGTGTAATTAGCTAATCTATTCTCTATATCTATTTATATAAGATTTTAATTGTAATTTTTACTATACGACTGTTTGTTGTCCTTAATTTGTATTAAGGACAACAAACAGTTGTATAATTACATCAACTGGTTCCCTATTTTATATCAGTAGCCTAGTACACTTATTTTCAAATTGAAATACTGGAAATGAGGTATTCCATCTTAGTCCTCAGGGATGACAATGCATCTGCATTTTGATTCTTAATTGAGGATAAATGTAAATGTCTATGGGGCCACAGGATCTGCTTACTATTGGGTAAGCAGATCCACAGCAGGCCACAGGGCCTCATAGACGGTGTTTGTTTGCCACTAATTAAAAGTGTTGTGGTGGTGTAAGTATATCCACTACTGTTGTAACCACAGTTGTGAGACGCAACAGTGGGGAAATGAAACAATAGATAGGTAGTAGCTTCTTTCTGATAACAACCTAAAATATGATTCAAATTGAAAGTAAGCGTACTAGGCTACTGATATAAAATAGGGAACCAGTTGATGTAATTCTGAAGCTAATAAAAAACCCAGTCTCTATACGTAAATTTTTCCAAGAGTTATCATGACTACATACAAAATCATCATCCATATATCCAGCTAAAAAAAATTAACCATTTTTTTCTTCAAAGTAGTACAAAGGAAGGTTACTAGATGAAGGTTTGAAAGATTGTGTCTGAAACATTCAAAACTTGGAAAAGTTTAGAGAGGTTTGGTGGATTCAGCAACCGAGAGTTTTAAAGAGATGAAAGCAGTACTTTGAAACGTCTTTAAGTGTAATCACTAGTTGTTATTGAAAAATAAACTCAAAGAAAAAGTAGAGGGTAGTAAGATAAGTGTAGATAAAAATAATGAAAGCAGGTAAAAGCAGCTAGGGTATAATAGAGTATTAATAGATATGCTGAGGGCTGGAGAGGAATGGTGAAATGGATCACCATTAAAAATCTCAAACATTCTGTCCTTTTTATCCTTTAAATTCAAAATGTGTGGTAATGCATTATTTGAACTGATTTTACTGAAATAAAGAAAAACATTTATTGCAACACGCAAACATCATTAATTACTTAAATTTTAACATTTGTAGACACATCAATTGAAAATAGTATAACAAAATAAAATAAAGAGTAATAATAATAAAGAAAACAACAATTTGATGGATATATAATTATACCTTCTCTAATCTATACTTGAAGATTAAACTTACCTACTTTATGTGCTTACTACTGTGAGACTGGCTCAAAGTCATTATAGTCCCCCTGTATAAGGGAAAAGGGTTAAAGCAGAATTGATAAAACTACCATGGAATCAGCCTGCTTAGCATTGCCAGAAAAATGTATGCTAAGGTGTTGATTGAAAGAGTTATATTTTTTTACTTTGGGTAAGTTAGCCCGTAAATGCCTCTTGTACACCGACAATAAATTCATATTTGCATCGTCGATGGGCGAGATGCAAATGATTGCTATAATTATCATATCTTTATAAGAGAGCAATCCCCCTTTGTAAAAAAGTAAAAGAGTTAGTTGAGCAAGTGTATGAGTTTGTGTAGAAGTGTTGTGTAGGAATGATTGATGTGAGAAGGATATAGAACAATGAGTGAATCCAGGACACAGTAAATGGGGCTCTTTACCCTATTGTGAAAAATCAGTATGAGTCAAAAAGGCCTAGTCCCTAACTAACTTGATTGTATGGTACTCAATGCATACAATACATAGGCATACGAGTGTAGAAATGTGTTCATTAAGAAGTATGTTAAGACTGATTCTGAATGCTAGTAAGAAATTGTGAGATAAGAAAAAAGTGTCATTTGCAAGATGTTATGACCCGGATTAATATAGGAATGCTTTGGTGGTTTAGACACATAGAAAGAACGAATTAGGTAAGAGTGATAAAGCAAATGAATGCTGCAGAAGTTAGTGGCAGAGTTGGCAAGGAGCAGCCTATACGGAAGTTTGTCAATCAAATTGTCAATTTGGCAAGATTCGCTAACTTAAGAGTACCCTTAATACGCATGTATGTGTAGATATATAGATGTGAAATAAAGCAAGAAAAGTGTGTTAAATAGAAGTCTCTGCATACCCCTCTGTATGACAAGTGTTTACTTATTGGTGTTTATTTTATATATTATGTAAAATGTAAAACTACTTCATGATACAGAAGAAATTCCTAGTTTAATTTTTTTTTGTTGTGGAGTAATTAGGCCAGAAAAACAATTCAATTATAGGTAGATATATATTTGCAGACAAGAATGCCGCGTCCTGGCAGCCTCAAGGACCCAGACATCGCGGAGTTATTTAGTAAACATGATCCTGAAAAGATCTTCGAGGACTTGCGTGAGATCGGCCATGGATCTTTCGGCGCGGTCTACTACGCTCGCTGCAATCTCACGAAGGAGATTGTGGCTATCAAGAAGATGTCATACTTGGGGAAACAGAGCGAGGAGAAATGGCAGGATATTTTAAAGGAGATAAAGTAAGAACATATTCAATATACTTCTTGATCATACAGAATAAAGGCTTACTTATAATATTTGTAAGTGTCGAAATTGTTTGTCATGTAAATGCATAGAGCTACACGGGCCACCGGCAGAACAGAGGCGAGTAGCCCTTGTGTTTTTCTGATATAAAAATATTTGTCATTTTTTGGGAGATCTGCATACACAAAAACAATCGTCTGTTACTATTCACACACACATAGATACATTATAACAGTATTGCTCAGTGATAGTGATAACTCGGATACAATATATTATAATTTTTAAGTTTAAATATAAGTTAATGCAATAATGTCATAAAAAATTACTTATATAGGAAAGGTAATGCCATCTTTTTGTAAATTTATTTATAGGTGGTAGAGCCATGTTGCAGCTAAATTATGGTTGTAGCATGGCTTTGGTTTGACCAAGGTAGTACTCACAGAACACCAGCGTAAAATAGCAGCTCAATGCTTGCTGTGTTTCCTATGGTGAATTTAGAGAACCGGAGGCTCTTTAACTGGAAATGAGGCATTTTATCATAGTCGTCAGGGGTGACAATGCATCTTCGATTTTATCGAGGCTTAACGTAGATGTCTATAGGCCACTGTATCCACTTACCATCAGGTGGACTGTATGCTCATTTGTCACCATTATTCTATAACAAAAAATTGAGATAACAGATCTTTTTTAGCAGCAAAAGACTAAACTTATTTGTAGGAGAATGATTTAGTTGTGCAACTAGATTTAGTCTTGTGATCAGTGCAGCTGCAACTATTTTTACTGTACAAATAGAACCATGTATTCAATGGTATGTATACCATGTAGAATACATGGCTCTATGTATTCTTCATGATTTTAATTATTAGATCCATGTAATAAAATAAAGTGTCTACCCTAGTTAGGAAAGCAACTCCCCATCTTGTTCAATTGTGTGCATTTTCCCATCAACACTAATCAAATCACCACACAAGGAAAGACACACAATCAAATGTACCAGTGGTGGTTTGTTTTAAAAGTTTGCGAAATAATTAAATTACAATTAGAACATAATATAATGTATGATTATGATGTTATTTTGCTAGATTTGTTAAAATTGCACATACAAATAATCTGGATTACATTAAATCTCCAAGTAATTTGGTTTCTCTTGTTCAGCGAGTAGTCTTGTAAAATTCAACAAAGATATGATTGGCATTTATTCCTTAATCTGCATATATTTCTTATTTTTACCAGTTATCAGGAGCTTACTCATCATCTCCACTCGTCACCTCCAAATTTATAAGTACTATATACGAGTTTAGAACAGGAATGCATTGTGAAAACTACAAAACAAAACTTATCAGAATAATAGAGCTGAAAAATTTGCTGTGCTACTCCAGTGCCAATTGGTAGATTCCACATGTGTTTAAAATATTTATCAGATTTATTTTTCTTGCACTGCCATGCATGTGACTTAGATATTGTGCTTAACATGGCTTTTGTACATGGTAGAACTAAGCTGCTGCTAAAATATAGTTGTAGCACGAATGGGCCGGCTTAACCGGGGTTAGGACCACTCTCACAGAACACCAGCATAAAATAGAAGCTTATTGCTGCTGTGTTTCGTATGGTGAGTGTAGAGAACCAGAGACCCTTTTTACTGGAAATGAGGTATTCCATCTTAGTTCTCAGGTATGACAATGCATCTGCATTTTGATTCTTAATTGAGGATAAATGTAAATGTCTATGGGGCCACAGGATCTGCTTACTATTGGGTAAGCAGATCCACAGCAGGCCACAGGGCTTCATTGACGGTGTTTGTTTGCCACTAATTAAAAGTGTAGTGGCGGTGTAAGTATATTCACTACTGTTGTAACTACAGTTGTAAGACGCAACAGAGGGAAATGAAACAATAGATAGGTAGTAGCTTCTTTCTGATAACAACCCAAAATATTAAAAAGTGTAGTTGCCAACCCGCCTGCCAAGAGTGGCAACTATTTCAAAAATTCCCCACTATGAGACAAGCTATGGGCGAGGTCTATGTTCAGCAGTGTACTTTTATAGGCTGTAATTGATGGATAAAAATGGTTATGATGGTTACTAGTTTTATAATTGTCTTCGTAAATGTGCACTTACTCAATTCTTTATATGTTTAATAAAAATAATACCATTTTAGTTTATAACTTGTAAAAGAGTTGATGTTTTATGTGGACCATGAATGTAGTATGTGCATTAAGATGACATAAAGATTGTAATAATGTTCTTTGTGGGAATAATTCCTATTTAAAAAATTCTTTAATTTTAGGTTTCTGAAGCAGTTAGAACATCCAAATACAATAGAGTACAAGGGCTGTTATAAACGTGAGCATACGGCATGGCTTGTTATGGAGTACTGTGTTGGTTCTGCTTCTGATATTATTGAGGTAAAATATTTTTGATAATTATTAAAAGTTAAATATCTCATATTTTAATACCACTATTGTTTGATTATGATTGAAGGACGTGTCTGTGTGTGCTTTATTATAATTCAAACATAATTAATTAGAAAATAAAATAATAATCACATATATTTTTGATTCTACTACATTTAGGGGGGACATTAAATGTGTACATTGAAGAGCTTCCATAATGAAACCATGTAAAAGTTATTATAAAATAAAAAGTCTTATTATTTTTTGATCATGTTGAATACACATTTTTTAAAATAATTGTTATTTTTATATTATGAAAAAAAAAACGAACAGTTCAATCTCTTGCAGCCGCCTGGCCTGTGGACGCCGAAACCTGGTTTTGGTTTTTTTTTTAATAAATTCTCCCTGCTTTAGTACTTCATATTTTTAATTCGGGAAGAAAACTTGGCAGAAAAAATTATCATTTAACTTTAGAATATACTCTTAATACCCTGTATGATTCATAACCAATTAGTTAAAACATTTTTAATTTGTATACACAGACTGACAGACACACGGACAGACCTTCCGAACAGACTTATGAATAACTTAATTTTTGCTTAGTTATTGCTGCAGTCATTTTGAGCACATTACGCCCAATTGGCGAAATAAAACTGCTACTGCTGTGAATAGAATGTAGGAAATATGGTGAATGAGTGTGCTCTAATGAACTTTCCATACAATATTAAATGTATAATATATTATTTATATTGTGTTAGTGAAGCCAAATAATAAGCTATATTAAATAAAATTTAGAATAATAGATAATAGAAGCTATATTAAGCCCAATTTCGGTTACATATTAAAATAAAACATAAACACTCACGCCTGTCACTCAGAGGGGTAGGCAGAGACTACGGACTTCCATTTGGCGCGATTATTACTTGACCTTATTATGTAAAATCTCATTATTCCATGAAGAATCCAGGCGAAAGTGGGGCAGTTTGCTAGTTTTAAATGAATTAACTGGCAGAATTAATGCGTTACGTTTGTAATGTAATGCAATAGGCCTAATAATTCCAAATAAACTTTTAATTTTTGTGAAGTAAAAAATATTTTTTTTAATAATTACGTCATTATTTAAAAAAAATGCTATGATAAAATTTTTTAGGTGTGCAATTTTATACATAAAAGATCCTTACCTCCTCTTGAAGTTAAATCATGTCATCTTTTAAAGTTGCATCAATATTCTATAATTGTTTTTTACTTCAACACCATCTGTAAAATGGTTGTAAAAGATAAGGATCTTTTTTATGTAAAATTAACAGATCTTAAAACTTTATTTTAAACATTGTCCCATTACATGCATAGTTTTCGAGATAATAAAAAAAAACTTTTGTGAATTTAAAGTGATTTTTCGACTTGTCTAAAACCACTAATATAAATCTGCAGTTATTTGTTAAGTTGAACGAGGTCGCTGCTAAATGTTTGTATTTAATAACTCTAGATGTGTATTAGAATTTCAAATAGTCTATATTTTGATTACTCAATGATAGGTCGATTAGATTTTAGCAAAGGTGTATTGTCATAACATCAACCTAAATTGTAATTTGCACATGAGATCACTGATTTCTGAGAAAATATCTGATTTATATGAATACTTTGTGGCTTCCCAAAAGGAACTCTTGAGTCATCCTATTTTTATACATCATCAGTAAACCATTAGCGGAATTTTGTTTTGAATTATATGAATATGATCATTTCCTGATTTATTGATGAATTATATATTACTGCTTATCTATCATAAATAGATTATTTTAAAATGTGTAACACAATATTTTTTAGTCTTTTATATTTATGTTTTCTTTTATATAATTATCTTTCATTGTTTAACACATAACTTTTTACTCTTGACTGACACAATTAAAAGATATTGATAATACAACACTTTTCTGACATTGTAATGTTATAGAAGAGGTGTAAATATTAATGAATGAAATTAATCTCGAACAAACTGTCGCATCATTTAGGCACAGATTTCAATAAAATAATTCTGACAGAAATTTTAGGTAGTAAAAATATTATTTGTGCCTTTATTGTGAAAGTGTTTTATATACATAAATTGCACTTACATTATAAAACATCCTGAAACATTGATTTTAAGTGGTACACACTTGGTTCCGTGATTCGGACCCACTGCTAAGAATGTGTCAGCTAACAAGCAGTACATAAAACGTTTGCCCCATACAGAACAGAGTAGGCTTTTAATCAGCGATTATTAAACTTGTTCTCTGTTAAAATTTGACGTTATTGCCTAACCTTATGAAACTACGTATAAATTACATGACATTAGTGATTCTGCAATATTTTGTTTTCATTAATTAGTATATTGATCAGCAAAGTGATAAAGCTGTTTTGATTGTAGTTTCTTTTTATAAAATAATATGTGTTTCATTATATGATTTATAACATTATAGTGGATCAAGATATAAAGAATGGGTGAACAATGACCGTGAGAAAGCAATGCTGTATAAAGCTATTCCATTGAAGAGTGTATTTAAAAGAAATTAGCACATTGTCATAGATCTTCCCACGCAAGTGAAAGTCAATGAGCCACTAATAATAATTATATCGTTGATTTCACTGCCTTGCAACAAGACCACATAGTATATTTGCTATTTACTGGGAGTTTCTTAGTTTTATTTTTAAAATGTAATCTAGAATGTTTCCTGTTACAGGGAAATGTATTCACAATGTTGTAATTCAATGTTATCTCTAACTTTTAAACCTAGTTTTATTTTACTTGTCCCATGAAACAACAAAGCTTACAGTGTGTTTTTGAAATTAATGTTTTACTTATTACTCACGATATTATAATACACCTTCTTCACGATTTTAAGACAAATAATTACAAACAGAAAACTAAAGATTCATAGAAATTTGTTTCCTTCAGTTAATATGCTTTTAATCTATTAATTTCTGAGCTCGGGATATGGAGTTGTTGTTGGCTCAAATATCTAGTAGATTGAAAGTCATGTTAGTAAAATATTAGCTTAGGAATTTTCATGCTATATACTGTATGTAAACACATCCACTGCTAAAATCATAACTTCTCTTGCTTATAAGCCAATAAATGTCAAATTTAATTTAATAAAATGTATGGATTGAAAACTAAAGTACTTAAAATGCTGTTTATGTAACACCAACAATAAAAGATATCTATTATTTATTCAATTTTAGTTTTTTAAATTATATACGGAAACTTTTCTTTGTCTTTGATTACAAGGATGAAGATATATTTTTGGTAAGTTTCAGAACTGGTAAAATTAAAAATCAACCAGTGTTTTTTTTTTAAATCAATTTAATGTATATAATTGTGGTTTTAACTGTCACAGGTTCACAAACGGCCTTTGAGAGAAGAGGAAATAGCAGCGATCTGCGAAGGAGTTGTGTGCGGACTATCATATCTTCATAGTCTTGGGAGAATTCATCGTGACATCAAAGCTGGAAATATCTTGCTCACGGAGAATGGCACAGTCAAATTGGCAGACTTTGGCAGTGCAAGCATTAAGTGCCCAGCCAACAGTTTTGTTGGCACTCCGTATTGGATGGCGCCAGAGGTCATTTTGGCGATGGACGAAGGACAGTATGATGGGAAGGTTTGTATAGATGACAGTTGAGGAATTAAATGTTTCTATTTGATTGATCATTATTAGGAAATACTTCATCTTCCATCTTCTTATAATTGACTTAACCATCTCATTATAACAGGGGATATCATTTTATTTCTTTGTCTACTTATGACAATAATGCATGGGTAAAAAAAAATTGTACAGCACTGATTTTATCTTTTTAAAAAGTACATTGACTATCCATCCTTTTTTATTCATAGTAACCAGGTCTTTAATAAAAAATTTAAATATATTTCACCTATATTTGGTTTCAATGGCTTGTAAATTATTTACAAATATATTTCGACTTTCTACTTTTTTATAGAACAAGGGTGACAAACGAGCACATAGCTCACCTGATGGTAAGTACATGTTGTGTCCTATAGGCACTTACATCAATTCTCGATAAAAAATGCAGATGCGTTATCACCCTTGAGGACTAAGATTGAATGTCTTGTTGCAGTGAATAGGGTCTTCAGTTCTCTATTTGCACCATACGAAACAGCACCATGTAGCTGCTATTTTACGCTCGTATCTCACATAAAGTGCGTAGTCCCTCCCCGGTCGAACTGAACCAACCGTGCTGCAACCAAAATATAAACTGCACTGTGTCTCCACTACTTACACATATTGTTGTCTTTTCTACATTGGATTTCTACTCGTCTAATGGGCCTGGTAAATGTTAAAATTGCTAATAAAATTTAAATCCGGCTCGAAGAACCAATGGAAAATTAGTTAATATAAACGATCTAATAAGAAGCTGAATACTATTGCATGAAGAATTATAAAGTCTTTTTCCAATTATAATAAATATATTATGTAGTAACTTATCATAAGTGTCACATAATCTATATACGTCTTACTGCTGGGTATAGGCCTAGTTTTATTTCTGAGCGGGTTTTGCAGCAGGTGAGACTACGCCACGATTCCTCAATGCTTGCTAAACAGACTACATGACATCAAGGTCAATATTTTTATGTTCCATCCATGCAGGTGGCCTCACGATATTTTCGTTCATCACTGAATATGTGGTAAATCAGCATTGAACTGCATTCAAAATTGAAGGCATGATCCCAGCCCCTAAACTAACACAGTTCCTATTTCCTGTTTTATCTCTTTAATTTCAAAATATATAATCTTGATGTTATTGAAATATATATTTAAACTAGTTCTCCAGACTGAATTTGTTCTGCCCTCTCCGACGATCCTTTGTCCTATTAAATGCTTAAATCGTAATAAAAATTATTGAGGGTAGGGTATCCTGATAAAAATTATCCTATCGCTCAAGTTGGACCAAACTGCACACAATGTGCAAAATTTCACTGAAATCGGTTCAGTAGTTTCGGAGTTCATCGCGAACAAACAATGTGACACGTCATTTTTATAAATTATTTTTTTCATAATTTTTTAGGTGGATGTGTGGTCTCTTGGTATAACTTGCATCGAGTTGGCGGAACGTAAGCCCCCTTACTTTAATATGAATGCCATGTCAGCGCTTTATCATATAGCTCAGAATGATTCGCCAACACTACAAGTAAGTTATGTCTGCTTTTACTTTCTGTTATTATTATATTAATTTTATGGCAACTGGCAATTTAAACAAGATTAAAAGAAATAAACTTTATGACCGCCGAATTATCAAGTTAAGTTCGCTTCTTTTAATTTTATTTTCAGTCCTTAACAGTCCACTGCTGAATAAAGCATCTCCCATTGTAAGAAGGGTTTCACCACTCTTGATGTGTGTGTGGTTGGTCTTAGTTATGAATGTATGTCGACATGCACATGCACATTATATTAGCGTGCGTAAGCTGTCATAATGAAAGGGTTATTCCATATTGCACTAATAATAAAGTATATATTTAACTTATTTTACCTTAGGGTCGATAAGTGGAATAACCTGACTGGAAAGTAATGGGATGAAAGTTGTTAGCAGTGAACTAAAAAAACATCTGCACTATTCCTTTAGTTTAGTTTACGACGGGCTGTTTTCCGCAACTCCACTTCTAAGCTCATATTTTGCGTGTGGCAGGAATATTGTAATTATTTGAGCCATGAAATCTCGCCGAAGAAGTTCACCAGTCCTTTGATGTTGCGACCAACTTTGTGGAGTGATCCCGGCGTGCCGAGATGTTTAGCACTATATGTAGCGACCTTCGGACATGCCAGCAACTAGTGGGCAGCTGTTTGCTCCTCCCCCACACATGCACCCTGCACAGAGGACTATCTGTAACACCTATAGTGAATAAATGTTTGTTAAAGAAGCCATGGCCCATAATAGCATAAGTGGTTTGTTCACTCTCATTAAGACCTTGGTTATACAACTGTTTATTTCTGGCAGAGCCTCCCTAGCTTGCCTACAGTCCATTAGATTTTTCCAAAGCTGAGCGTGTTGATTAGTAAAGCTTTTATGTACCAGTGAACGAATGTTACCAAAAAGGATTGGTTTGATCGTTCCCGGCCTTTTAATGGCCATAGTCGAATCTCTTCTAGCCAGTTCGTCTGCTGCGTCGTTTCCTCTTGATCCATTGGAGAGTCACATTATTGTGTTTACATACCTCATTTAGTCGTTGATGGCATTCATATATTAGTCCACCACATTGCAACTCGGAGCCTTTAGTACCGTCATGTACTATTTACTTACTGCAGGTCAGATATTTTAGGCTTAGTCTATTTCACCGTTATTCTGTTGTCTGTTGGAGATTGGAGGCCACAAGATCTTTTTAATGTTTCTCTTACGGCTGCCATACAGGGTTATTTTTCAGAGTATCTAAATTTTATATTTAACTTCAAATATATAAATAATGATATACTGTTATTGCAGTTTTTGAAGACGAGTAAATAAGGCTTCTACTTTTTTTTTCAAATTGAATGTGATTTATGGGCACCAACTACTGCGTACGCGTGCTCCTCTGTGTGCGATTCAATTCACAACATTTTTGTGGACCGAGCGACCCTTACGAATGTATGCGTGCCTAGTAAAATAGTAGGCGTTAGATATTTACGAATTAGTTAAATAATGAATTAGCACACCTTCTGAATATAAAAGATAATAAGGACAGAATATTTGAGACTTTTTTAAATTAAGTTTTGTTCATCATTCGCCTATATTACATATTCTGAACCTTGTCAACAAATTTGGGCGTATATTAAAATATAACCTTGTATAATACGAGATAGGGTATTTGAATTGCTTATGGACACCATTACACAGCAAAAAAAAAAGTGAAAAAGTTACACTAACTTAATTAGTCTTGGGCATAGTTGATCGCCATTGGGAGCGCTCAATTTAGTTCGTAGTTCTATAGGGAATTTTCCAGTAGATCTAATTAAAAAGGATGAGCTTATAGAATGTCAATAAATAAGAATTAATTGAATTTACTTTAAAAAAATATTAATGGTTTAATTAGTATGTAGTATAGAACTATTTGATGATATGGAATAAAAATAAAATATAATAAAGGAAACTTAACATGTTTTTATATTTTTGAAGTGTATTAAATTAATGAAAATAACACAACTGCAATTTATAGATTACATGTCGCTAATTAATATTTAACAAGCCTCAATATAACGAATTCCTCGATTTAACGAATTTTTCGAAATCCCCTAGAACTGCCTTGTAGCTAATGCAAAATAAAATTCTACATTACAAATAGATTTTATCAACACATCTTTATAACGAATTTTTAATAATTGCAGAATATATATAGAAGGTATTATTCACCTCTATTTATTTCTAATTCCATTCAGTTTCGTTATATTGAGGTTGCACTGTATTCGAGTATTTATTAAAATTAGTAGGAATAGAAAAGTAAAATTTTAATTTTGAATAAACTTACCGTAAAATCGAATTGACAACTATACGGTATTTATGTACTGTTTACTATCACTTTCATATTAATATTGTGAGCCAGCAATATTTGTTATTTGTTGTGAATTGTGCACTAATAAAACTTTTACTATAGACTATAAATTATATACTTTAATAAGAAACTCTGGTAAGAACAGTAAGAGTAAAAAAAAATCAGTCAGTTAGCCATGCAGCGCCACTCCATAATAGAGCAGACGCCAGAAAATAAATATTTAAAGAACTAAGAGCGAGATAGTCGACGAACTAGTTCGCTCAGTTCACCTAAAAGAGCGCTCTTCCCACCTAGGTCGTTCGCGAACTACCCAAGACTAAATGTAATTAAAAAAATTTCAGGCACCTGAATGGACGGATACATTTCGTTATTTCGTTGAAGCCTGTCTTCAAAAGAATCCTCAAGACCGACCATCTTCCACGAAATTGTTGTCCCATCCATATATCACGAGGCCGCGCTCTCCTAATGTGCTGGTGGATTTAATACAGAGGACGAAGGCTGCTGTGCGAGACCTAGATAACCTCAGCTACAGAAAGATGAAGAAGATATTAATGATAGATGCAGACAATGAGAGTGCCTTTGGTATGTATTAAAAAAAATAACACATTGTTTTTTATATTTTATATGGCAATACCTAACTAGCCATGTAAACCAGATATTACGTTTCTTTTAAATGTTGCAATTCACTTACAAGAACTGCAACTAATTCCCATTACGATTTTGTAGTGTAATGGCACAGATCTTATTAATAAAAAGGTTAGTAATTTAGTCTTGTCATTTGTAATGTTTTGTGATGTAAGGAATCGGTATGAACAATTATTGTGTGGAAATTTGAATCAATGTTACTACTGCGAGGGATTGAAAACTATTTCCGAATTTCACTCCAGTTCTTCACTAAGTATCTTTTTTATACGGTTTCGGGCTTTAGGATAATGGTTTTAAAATACCCATTGCAACGAGTTTTTGAAATTCCAAGTTCAGAGGGGATGCCAAACAACAAAACACACCAAAAAGCTATGTAGTAGCTTAATTTTTATATCACCTCTGTAAAGTTATTTTAAAATTTGGTTACCGATGTATCTTTTATTATTTTTCATACTGTATATACCTAATTATTGTAACAAGGAACTATAATGCTATAAATTGCGATATGCACTGGAGTAGTGTAAATTTTCACAATAGTATACTATTTTAACATATATATTCAATAATTTGGTCTGCGATCGCCGATTAAAGTATCAAGCATTTTTTTAGGCGTTTTTTAACGCGTTGAGTGCGCATGAGACTCGCATTAAAATAGATATATCTTTTTTATTTGTTAAAACACTAAATATTAGTCCACACTTATCTCAATATCTCAATAAAAGTAGAGTCAAATTAGAATTAGGTATTATGGAGATTAGTATGCACAAAAACACAAAAAAAAAACAGTCAAATAAACTGTTTACGATTTTCTTATTTAGATATGTGCTAGGTTCAACGGTGTGAGAGATATCCGATACTGCAGTACCAAATTGCTGAAACTGAAACTGACTAGTTTCTCTCTTTGTATAGATGTGTCATACATCGGACTGTTATGGACTGATAAAGCATACAATTTTTTTCTTAAACAATGATAATACCACTGACTAGCTGCACTGAACTTACAAAGGTCTTTTAATCATTTTGTATTCTATTATTTTTCATGTAAAGGAGACAGTGAAGAAATGGCGGAGGAGCGATCCGGTGGTGACAGCTCGAAGTCCAACTCTGCAACTTCTGAACACAGCGTAGCTGGTGCTTCCAGCCAGAGTTCTTCCTCTGGAAGTCTGCGGCGAAGACCTCATCCCGTGAATATATAATTATATTATGCTTACTTATATATTATCGATCCATTCCAGTCCCGCGAGAGGGAGCAATATCCAAAGTTTGAAACTTCTGATATTGCAGTTGTGAATTCACCGATGAGAAGAGTGATGATTAAGGCAAATCTTTGCTACAATGCAAGAGATCCATGTCTAGCAGTGAACTTTAAAGGCATAGTAGAAAATAACAAAATGTGCTTCTTCATTACTGAGTTAGCTCAAAGTAAGCGCCAAGTAAACACTATTTTAAAAAGTTTCTTGAACTTCTTTTTGAAACAAAGCTATTTTGGACATTAAGATTGATAATGATGATATATTTGATATAATTAGATGTTTTTGCAAATTTAATATTATATAATTATATTATATCTACATCATACATATTTTGTTTATATATTTACATAAACTGTATGTAAAGATTTTGTGTATGTATGTATGTCATACTATGTGTGTATGGATTGATATATATATATATATATATATAAATGCACCTGCCACAAAATCTCATCACTCTACGAGTTGACTTGCAGAGAATGTCGATAAGCATTAAGTCCACTCCTTGTTACACTATTTATTAAAGTGTTAACAATAAAAATTAAAAATATAAATAAATAATATTAATAAAACTACAAAACACTTTCAGATCAATGCCAATCATCATGGGCAACATCAACCACAGTCGCAATACCAACAATTTAATCACCAGCATTCTTCTCATTCTGCCAGGTATATTTTTTACTTTGACTCATGCATCATCAGTATCCATACTCACAAAATATAATTTGTTGTTTACTATATTTTTATTATACAGTTATATTTTAAATTAGTGGCTTTGAATGTAGCTTTTAGTGAATAATGCACGTCTTCAGTACGAAATACATACCCTCATGCTTGTTGTATGTGTCACGCTACCACCATCCTATTAGCTACACCTCTCGCATTAGAGCGCAACCTTACCTTTCAGAGCACGCAAGCGCTGGTTTTACTCATGTTGCTGTTTCGTACGCAGAGAGAGTGAGAGCCCTCTGCCGACTTCGCACGACGACTACGTCAATAGAGACGCGTTGCGGGATTACGCAAATAGGGATTCTCTATGCGACGACTACAGCGAGGACTACGCGAACAGAGAAGCGATACGGGAGGCACAAAGGGAGAGAGAAAGGGAGAGGCAGGCGAACGAGTATAGGGAGTATGTGAACGCGCCGTCAACGTGGCAGCAAGACAGTGGAGACGACAACAGGAATACTCAGCGCCGTGCTACACATAGGGGTGAGTATTTTTTATACTTGTTTGTACTTATCTATTTCAAAGTGTTAAAACTGTACCCTTTATTACCATTGTTAATGTACAGCAATTGGAAAGAATTGTATAATAGTACAAAACAATAGTATATGAAACTGCAACTCTTTTTCTATTATTCTGTTGTTGACTAATATTGATTTTTCTGTAGCAGTACAGTGTAAATATCACCAAGCACTTGGAACAGTCTCATTATTTTTAAAATTCACCGTTCTAAATTTGTAGATGCAATATTGTTAGTGTTTATGCCCAAAATTGGTCATTTTGAACGCCATCTAATCGCGTTCGAGCTGGCGCATCACCCGATGGTATGTAGGTGAGGTAAACGCTGCCAGGTGGGGCGGCTGTCTGCGGCAGTGGCTCGACGCGTGGGCGAAGAGACAGTAGCTCGCTTGCCGCGATGCGGTGAATCCGCGTATCTCGGTTATCGCGGCAGAAGTTCACGCGACCGATGTAGGGTCCAGATGGTTAGATTTAGTGCGTGTTACTTCGCTACGTGGATATGTGAATTTTGCAATATTTAACTTGCTCGGGTGATGCGGAATTTCGCACGCGCGCGCCGAGTAGATATACGGTCTAGGATTCGAACCGCGCATTCCTTGTTCGAGAACGTCTCCCGGTTGATTTGTCATTATAATTTGGCGATAAGTGAATCCGGGACATTGAGTGTTGAACTTTGAACTAGTGTCCGTTACTATGTCGGGTATCACGTGTTCGATTCTACGATGAATGTGGAATTAGGCGAGTTTAAGTTAGTTAAATGTCAATGAAGTTAATAGACTGAAATAGTGACAATGAAGAAAGAAATGGTCCAGCGGTGGAGCCTGCTGGAGCGATGTAGCATTGTGGGGCAGCCTGGAGCTCGGCCGCTGCTGGTCACCTAAGCTAGTCCAGGTCTCGGACACATAAACATCACTAAACACTACTTGCCATGCACCTTACACCCACTTACGGCCTGACCGAGCCTTGGGGTGATCTTAGAGTCGGAAACAGGTACGTACTATATTTTCCTAGCATTCTCCCATATAGTTTAGTATGAAAGGATATTCTTCCATATGGCCATTGGGCCCGACCCACGTCTGACCGTCGAGGAAGCTGCTATGGGCCCTAGCCAAGACGATCTTTGCAGGGGCAGCTGCGGGCCGTAACAGTTAGTCATCGAAAAGTTTATTTATATCATTTATTGTTCTATAGTAGCTCTGATGCTAGATGCTTGCTTTAAATTTTATGGTATGCAAGAAAACCGAAATTCTTTTTATGGTTCCAGCTTATTCTGTTTGTAAATGCCGTGAGGTAACCTAAATATCTGATAAATAAAATTATATTGCAAGAACATGACAAAAAAACCCAAACATACACTACGCAACAGCTTAGTGGATTTTTCCTAGTGGATCCTAGTGTTCCTGCCTCTAATGGTCGTAAGCGCGACTGCCTTGCTGATCATGTGGTCAGTTATGTGTGTTGTTTCTGTCAAGAAATTCTCATTAGCAAGTCTGAGCTTAGGAAGTTGGCAGTGTTTCACTCACATGCCTCGAAAAACACGTAAAACCATTGGTCCTGCGCCAGATCTTTCTCTGATCGTATCGGAGTCTGCATTTTGCAGTGAAACATTATTTTTAGTACATTATTGTTTGCTTTAAATCCATGAATGTTAGTTGTTCTTCGCCATAAATCATCAGCCCATCTAATGTCATTGCTAAATAATATATTTTCGCCTTTCTATGAATACAAGACACGTGTTTTAGTTACCATGATCTGCTATAAATATATAATATATCCCACATCCATAATATGTCCCATATCCATGAAGGTTGACTAATATGTATATATATCCATGAAGGCAGTTCAGTGTGAAAATTCAAAAATTGGGTTTCAATAAATAAATCATAATACTACTAGTCATCAAAAAAATCGACCCACCTGCGTTTTTATAGCAAATCACGTTTTTCGTAAGCAAAATCAAACAAAATGATTTAGTACTGAAATGTTTTATTTAACTTGTTTATTTACACCAATTTACAAAATGATTTACAAAAATCATTTTGATGTTTTAACTCTGATTAAATTGGTGTAAATAAACAAGTTAAATAAAACATTTCAGTAAAAAACGCAGGTGGATCGATTTTTTTTTTGATGACTAGTGTATGTGTAATACAACTTTTCTATTAGAATCAGACATTACTTTGTGGAAATCCACTATGTATATTAAATATATTAATTTCTAATTTACTTAGATCCGTGTAATAAAATATAATGATGTGTGTTAACTAATTTGAAGAGTACCTCTTCGCCCTTCTTCAATTGTTATCCCCCTTACCACTATTCCCAACACCACTACACTAGGAAAGACATACTACTATGGGGTAGCAGATATTCTTACACTGTTATTACACAGAGATTCACTCATTCTAATCGATTTTATAATTATTAATATAAATACTCAAATGTTTAATGTTACTTTCTAGGTGTCAGCAATAATGTTTCTGCGGCAATTTCACTTGTTTCGGAACATGGTGCCAACAATTTTGCTACAATACGAACTACCAGCATTGTTACAAAACAACAGAAAGAACATAACCATGTAAGGAAACTGTTGTTCATTATCTAATTATAATTGTAGGTTGATGAGGCCCTTCTTTTTCTTTTTCACTTATTGTTTTATCCGTCGAAAAAGAATAATGATTAATTTTCATGTTGCCAGAGCTCAAACTGCAAATACCAAGTTTATTATTGGTTTTTGGACACATGAATAAAATTTATTTACCAAAAGCTATCAATTATTTTGCCTTTTCGTAAGACATCGAAATCATTATGTAAATCTGACCGTGGTTGGTTATTAGGATTGTACCACCATTATTATTCATAGTTTAAAAATATTTGTCGGTCCTTGTGCAGGAGATGCACGAGCAGATGTCCGGGTACAAGCGGATGCGGCGTGAGCACCAGGCGGCGCTGCTGAAGCTGGAGGAGCGCTGCAAGGCCGACGTAGACGCGCACAAGGCGCAGCTCGACCGCGAGTACGACGCGCTGCTGCAGCAGCTCTCTCGCGACCTGGAGCGCCTGCAGGTGACACTGATGCACTAACACGCTCAAACCACATGCGAGCATAGTTGCACATACACACTCCCACACCCATGCATAAAGTATACAAGAGTCACTTTTACATACATAAACACCCTTCTACGCACAAACCTGAAAAAGGTTACCGAATCAGCCACTTGTAATATGAAATAATTTAATTAATTTTGTACACCTAAAGTGCATTATGTGATTTTTAAATTTAGTCCAAGTATCATTTAGTAGTTATTATTGTTTTAAATACAAAGAAGTTGTCAAAAAATAATTAAAAATCAAACATCTTATAAAATTTATTAAATTCCGGGATGTCATGTTTATACAAAATTAAGCTTTAACATATGGTAATTAATATACAAAATTAAGCTTTAACACTTAAATTATAATTTCAGACAAAGCATGCGCAAGAGTTGGAGCGAAAACAAAAGCAAAATGCTGCGGCGGAGAAGAAATTGATCAAAGATATTACCGCAAGGCAGGAACAAGAGCGCAAGGCGTTCGAAGCGCAACGTAAACGCGAGTACAAGGCGAACAAAGAGCGCTGGAAAAAAGAACTCAGTATGGATGATGCTACGCCCAAGAGACAGAGGGATGCTACATTACAGTTAGTGTCAATTTTATACATTTTTACTTTTTTATACGAATAACTGACTTATACGTATAATCTTTAATTTGTGTTTTATTAAACCAATGCGACATTGTAAAAAATAATAGAAAAAAATTATCTATTTTACTTCAATTTATAGTATTATTGTTGTGAATTCACTAAAAAAAAAAATGGTGAGTGCTTGCGGTACTAGCCAGTCGTTATGGTTGTCGTCATCGCCAAACATATCTCCGGAATGGACAACCCAAACTGCCCTTAAATATCTACATTATGACTCCTGCCTCTAAGTATTTTAATTTGTATATCGCCTATATATATAATAAGTGTGAAATTTTTTTATTTTTCAAGGAAATTGCCGATCAAGAATGAATTTCTGCTATAGTAACTGCCTTCCAGAAGATAATTTTGTTGCTTTGTTTTCTTGCACATGGTGATATGTAGTGGGTTACCTTAATTGAATCTTGTTTGACGCACAGATCGCAAAAAGACAACCTGAAACAAGCAGAGGAGGCGGAACAGGCTCGACTGGTGCGGTCGCAGCGTGAGTACCTGGAGCTGGAGCTGCGCCGCTTCCGTCGCCGCCGCATGCTCGCCATGCACTACAAAGAGCAGGAGTTGCTGCGAGAGGTGCGTGCCCGCCGCCACTCCACACCTACTCCACCGCCACTCCACCTCTACTCGGCCGCCACTCCACCTCTTCTCCACCGCCACTCTACCTCTACTCGGCCGCCACTCCACCTCTACTCGGCTGCCACTCGACCTCTACTCGGCCGCCACTCCACCTCTACTCCGCCGCCACTCCACCTCTACTCGGCCGCCACTCCACCTCTATTAACATGGTTTTCTGCGTAGGTACCCCGCGTATTCTGAGAGAGAGCGTAATTAGAGTTCATTCAAATCTTGACGCCGTCCTTTACCATCTGGAGAAGGCGAAGCCGGTCTTGCTTTTTCTAACTGAGGCAAATGTCACCTACCCGGGATACAAATTAGATCACTCCTTTGTGTGGGGACATCTGTATTCGGCAACCATCCCCGCGTCTACGGGTGCCTCTATAGGTCCCATCGGGGTAATGCCCACAGACCGATTCATCGACCACGTCCAAATGGCTGCAGACTCTGTTCTGCAATAGGCCCCATCTGCAGAGATCGTGATCCTCGGTGATTTTAACGCTCACCACACTGAATAGCTTGGTTTCCGTTTAACCAATCATGCGGGTATATCTGTTTATGTCTTTGCCTTGGCATATGTTCTGAGAAACTGGATACTTCACGTACGTGGATCCTAGACGTAGAGGATTATACACCTTCACTCTTGGACTTTCTGCTGACCTCTCATCCAGACTGGTATCAGGTGTCCGTCAATACCCCCTTGGCTCTTCTGACCATTGTCTGATCTGGAGTACGGTGCCACTCGCGCTCCCATCGCGGTTGCGTTCTGCAGGTTGTCGCCGTGTTTGGCACTATAGGTCGGCTGATTAGGACAGGATGCGGTCTTTTTAGCATCTTACCCTTGGAGGCGAATTTTCTTCTCACCGGATGATGCCAACGTTGTTAATTCTGTCGCTAATGTGATGTGGGAATGGAACTTTTTATTCCATCATCTGTGGTGCAGAACTGAACCATGGTTTGGTCACTCCTGTAAAATTGCATCGCGCCATAAGCAAGAGTACTACCGGGCTTAGGCTGATGTATCAATGTCTCAAGATGCAAACACCAGCGCCTTTAAAAAGAAGTATAATTCCGCCTTCAGGTTCTTCAAGAGTGTCATTGCCGAGGCAAAGTCAAAGTACATCGGCGGAATTGGCGAGAAACTAAAACTAGTTCGATTTCCTTCGGGAACACATGCATTCTGGTCTCTCGCCAAGGCTGTCAAAGGGAACTTCTATCAGCCATCTCTCCACAGGGAGTGGATGGCTCACACTGGCCCAAGCCGCAATGGGAAAGCCGATCTGGTAGGCTCTCTCTTTGCGACCAACTCGACTTTCGAGGACGGGGGAACACACCGCCTAGCATCACGCGGTGTGAGTGCTCCATGCAGGATGTGCTGTTTATACAGCGCTCGGTGTTCAAGGCACTCCTCTCCCTGGACACAACCAGTTGAATGGGCCTGATGGAGTCCGTCCATTTGTGCTGAAGTTGTGTGCTCCGAAGTTGGCACCGGTTTTCTACGTGTCTTTTCCAGTACACCTACTCCTAAGGCGTTGTCCCGAATTTTCGGAACATTAGTTCACCCGATCTCTATAAAAGGCGACGGCTCAGACCCGTCTATACTACAGACTATACTATAACTACAGGCCTATCGCCATCACTTTGTCGTTCTCCAAAATAATGGAATCCGTTTTAAACTGCCAGCTCAAGAGGTACCTTGAGGATCACCACCTGATTCATAGACTTCTTTGGCCGTTAGTTTGGACACATTGGTTAGTTGGCCTTAGATGGAGTTTGGCAAAAGCGCTTCTTTTGAAACTTCTTTCCTATGGGCTACCTGAAAAATTGTCCAATTGGAACACCAGTTTTCTTGGACATCGGAGCACCAAGGTCTAGGTCGTAGTAAATGGTGCGTGCTCCGATTACAAACCTACTAATACTGGTGTTCTACAAGGCTGCCTGTTTCTTCGGCATATCAATGATATTATGTTGCAAACCGGTATCATTCTATACATCTTCTATGCTTTATACACCAGCTGTGCCAATATTTCTCGGGAAAACGTCGCCGAGTACCCGAACAAACTTGTCTGAAGTCGAATCTTTGTTGAACAAAGTCTCGGATTGAGGGCGACTAAATCTAGTCCAGTTCAATCCCAAGAAGACACAAGTTTGCGTGTTCGCCGCTTAAAAGAACCCCTTTGTCGTATCTTCTCAGTTTCAGTACACGTCTCTTTTTGCCTCAGCCAGTATCGGAATCCTCGGAGTCGACTTACTCCTTCCAGTTGACCAAGAGAGCGTAGTTCCAGCCACCAAATTTCACGAACGCACATCGCGAAATAATTTACGTTACCGTCCACATCATCTGGACGCTTGGCGGTCCATTACTGTGCTATTAACTTCCTCGCACCACTACTTTGGGGAATCTTACCACCAGCGATTTATCCGGACCGATGCGTCCTTAGGGATCTTCAAGAAACGAGCTTACTCATTGTTAAAAAGCCGGCAGCGCATTTGCAACTCCGTGGTGTTGCAGTTGTTCATGGGCGACTCGTTTGCCCCGTCTTCTATTAAAAAAAACTCCATCACCGCTTCACCACTACTCCACCGCCATTTTACCTCTCACTGTACCTGTCCACCCTACAATTCGCAAGTTTACGCCATAATCAACGTGCTAGATTGTAAAACCCGACATCGCACTTTTTCAATCATAGTCATAAGGAGAAGGCTATTAATCTATCTAAGCTATTTTACTGGTACATGGCTTCCACTCGAGAATCTTTCGTCCCAGTTGTCACTTCTTCGACCTATATGGCCAGCCCACAGCCTCTTCACTCTTCATGATAGACTTAAAAAGCCGACCAAGTGCGAGTCAGACTCGCACATGAAGGGTTCCGTACCATCGTAAAACAAGTTTCTAGTAGGACAGCCCCCTTTAATTTTTAATTACTTTTATTTCTATTATTCGTTGTTATAGCGGTAACAGAAATACAAATTCTGGGAAAATTAAAACAGACAGACGGACAGTAGAGGCTTAGTAATAGTATCCCGTTGGTTACCCTTTGGGTATGGAACCCTAAAAATGAGAATATCCGCAATGGAACCAGAGTTACCGACATCCAACGGATTAGTAAGCTTATCGTTTATTTATTTTCGTAACTATTTACAGGAACTAAATAAAAGGCAACAACAGTTAGAGCAAGCTCACGCGATGCTGCTACGGCATCACGAAAAGACGCAAGAACTAGAGTATAGGCAGCAGAAGGGTGTGCACGCATTGAGGTAAATCTTTTGTTTAGTAACTAAATTCTTCGAGATCTAAAATACAATACTTACGATACAATAAGAAGTTGGTGATCGTGGTGAAACATTTTATGGGACTAAATATCTAAGGTTATGGAAAAATATTATTAGCTTAGCCTGTTACCATGATCATCTTTACCTCAACCTTACCTTCCTATTAAATAAGTGTTACATCGAATAAACATAAATGCTAAGAGACCAATTCCAATAGTATTTGGAGATTATTATTATTATTACATATAGATTAATAGTATACTGGTTCTATGAAAATTTATTTAAAAATTGTACAAACCGTTTTTAAAAAAAAGTCCCGCTCGGTTTCTTGCTGGTTATTCCCAGAACCAGAGGTATTTTCGAAACCAGTGGTAAATAAAAAAAGACTTAATAAGTATTATGTGATAATCAATACTGAATAAAAAATCATTTTATTCTATTGAATAACACCGCGGTCAAAATCTGTTAGAATAAAGAGTTAAATAATTGGTTTCCATTTTGTGATTAAGTAACTTAGAAATATTAAAATCACACACACAGAGAGGAGCAACTGGCAAACCAGCACGCGACGGAGCTGGCCAACCAGCGCGACTATATGCAGCGGCAGGAGCACGACCTTCGCAAAAAACATGCGCTGCAACTTAAACAGCAGCCCAAGAGTCTTAAGGTAACTTATTTGTTTTTAACAACATTTGCTTTAAGAAACTAATAATAAAAAGTAATTTAAAAATATTGCAAATTTTTCATTCAACCTTTTTTTTATCAACGCCGAACCAGGCCGAATTTCATCATGGAGAGAAAACACGGCCACATGAAATTCTGTGTACCAATGCCGCCATGAGGTTCTTCCCCCTCAAAAGCATTTTGAAGCAATAGAAACTTGCGAAAAAAGTGAATTTTTAAAGTCATAGTCCTAAAATCTTTTCTTGTTTATTTCATTTTTGTAACGGATGATTTTTAACAGTGGTAGAGCCACGCGGCAGCTTTTGCTGTCGCACGAATGGGCCGGCTCGAACCGGGGTAGTACCACGACCTCACAGAAAACCAGCGTGAAGTAGAGGTTTACCTCTGCGTTTCGCTTGGTGAGTGCAGGTGGCCGGAGGCCCTTTTTACTGTAAATGAGGCATTCCATCTTAGTCCTCACGGGTGACAACGCATCTACATTTTGATTTGTAACAGAGGATAGATGTAGATGTCTATGGGCCGCAGCAACCACTTACCATCAGGTGGACTGTGTGCTCGTTTGTCACCCTTACCCTATAAAAAAAAACGGATGATGTAATTCAACTTGTAATAAAAATAATTGACACGCGACCTGTGTCATAATTTACGTTAGTATAGTTTAGATTACTGCTGCTACTATCCATTGGATAGTATATTATTTTGAAAATTAGTATTAAAAAGTCGACACATTAATTAAATGTTTTGTTCTGACTTGTGATTGTTCTTAGCGTTTGCCTAGCCAAGTATTTGTTAAGACTTCTGTTGTCAAAGTTGTGTAAAAAGTGTATTCATATCCTTTCACAACCTTATACCTAGAACGCCAATCCGCCTGCCAAACATGGTGAATGAGCAAAAAGAAAAAAACGTCATCAGCAATCATGCAAAAAAAAGTAGAATGCTCATGATATGTCTAGAAGAAAATAATTGAAGCACAGTGCTCCATATTATATACTTACCTTGTATGTTTTGTTTGCAGCAAAAGGAAATGCAAATTCGAAAGCAGTTTCGGGAAACTTGTAAGATACAGACACGTCAGTATAAGGCGCTCAAAGCGCAAATCCTGCAGATGACCCCGAAAGTAAGTATTGAACTTTAATTAATAATTATAACTTTTAAGAAAAACTAAAAACCGACTTCAAGTTGGTAAAAAAGAAGTTATTTATTTGCTACCCTTAGGGGTGACATTTTTCTCCAATTTATGTGCGACCCTTAAAGTATATCCTATTTAATAAAAAACGAATCATCAAAATTGGTTCACAGTCTGCAAACAAAAAAACATACACTCAAATTGAGAACATCTTCCTTTTTGAAGTTGGTTAATAATTGTTAATTGTCAATTCTTCATATTTATGTTATCCTGCATGACATATCCATAGAACAAATTTTCATTCTTTTTTACTATTTAAAGATTAAAGTAACACAAATACTATGTTCTTCATTCATAAATATTATGAAATGTCATATTCTATGAAATGTAATATTAAAATAAAATTATATTATAAGAAATATATATTTAATAAATAACGTGTTAGTTGTTTATTAAATATATATTTATTTTTACGAATAAATAGTTCTCGTAAATCCACAATCAATTATCAAGCAACCGATTCTTAGGCCGGCCACATATTCGGGATTCCGTGAATACATCACACGTAAACATTTATTACCGTTCGGAATAACAAGGCTCAGTTGAGAGATGTTAGCCATTGAGTCTAGACATTCTGCCAGCAAATAATGACTTATATATTTCATCTTAAATATACAATTTGGATACTTTGAAAAATAACCCTGTATTATTGTACTGTTTACTGTATATGAAAAAAAAAACTAAACATAAAATCATGTTAAGTCTTAGAACTTAATTTCAATCATTTTAATTATAGTATTCTGTTAGCGTTAAAGATTGTAGAAAGTCAACTTTTTTAACCCTGCTGAGCAGACAAGTGCAAACGTGCTTTAAGTGGTGTTTCAAGATAAGAGTTGGTGACTTCAAGATAAGAGTGAATAGGCTCTGGTTAAGCTAAATCAGTGCACTTTACCAGCTTCGGCTGCATTGCCACTTACCATCAGGGTGTGATAGTATGCAAGCATCGGTTTACAACAGTTCAAAAAAAGTATGAGGGATGATCATTGGTAAACCTTCGGCTTGTGACATATATTTCCTGATAAGGTCAAAGGAATATAAATTTTCAAAAATTATTTATCATTTTAAAACCTAATATTTTTTTAATTTACAGGAACAGCAAAAAGAAGTGATAAAAGCGCTGAAAGATGAGAAGCGACGAAAATTAGTAAAACTTGGCGAGCAATATGACCTAAGCATCACTGATATGCTGCAGAAGCAGACCATCAAACTTGATGAAAGTCAGATGGTATGGTATTCCTGATTATTATCATTTATAAATTTGACTGAAAATAAATGTTCTGGTTTAATGTACATACACTACACTTTGTTTGTAAACATGGTTATTACCTCTACGTTATTTATAGGTGTAGTTTTTAGTACATAACTTGATGTACTGTTTTATTAGAATATGATAACAAAAAAAAGTAGCTTATTTTAATAAGAATAACTTGTAGCTTACAGAAATTTATCCTCGTGCTCCTACCGCACTTCACACCTCTTTTCTTTAATTGAGTCAGAAAACGAAGGCAAATGAAAAAATTTTAGTGGCTCATAAATTAATTAAACCTGTTTGGTTCTGCTTTCCTCCTTACTAAAGAACTCACTGATAATGTTTTTTTTATAAAATGTTTGCAGATGGAGTGCCAACAGAAGAAGATGCAACTGGAGCATGAGCTGGATATGCTGACAGCGTACCAGAGCAAGAGCAAGATGCAGGCGGAGGCGCAGCGCAACCGCGAGCGCCGCGAGCTCGAGGAGCGCGTCGCCGTCAGGCGGGCGCTGCTCGAGCAGAAGGTACGCGATTTGTTTTTTTTTTATAAAACTGTAGTGACAAACGAACTTACAGCCTACCTGATGTTTACTGCAGCGTATGGGCACCTGTAACCAACTTCAGAAAGCTACTAATGCCTTATCAACTCTCAGGATTAAGATGAAATGCCTCCAAGCCTGTTTTTATACTGACTTACTATACCTTTTACACCAGAAAATGATAGTGTATGCACTGCTGTTTGGCTTCAGAAGTAGGTAAGAGGGTGACCCAGACAGAGAAAGCATAAAAAGAGTTAAAATTAAAAAACAAAATCCAAGTTTTGTTTGTTTTGTTTTGTGTTAGTGTTTGTTTTGTTTTCAAGACAATATAGGTGTGTAAACATAAACTCACTTGGCTTTTCTGTAAGCATAGGTGCCGTCGACGTTAGATACACAATATTATAATTTATGGGTCATAATCACAAAGTTTCTTTTTGAAGTTATATCTTACTAACAAAAGTTAGGTGTATTACAATACTACCCATTCTACAAACTTATTGAGCTACTAATAAATATATATTGATTATATTTTGGACTTGGCAATGACCCTGGCGATGTTTATTTTCCGATTCAACAATACGTTTCAAATTTTGTATCGAGTTCATTCGTATCCAAGAAATTATTTACCACCACAACACCATATCTAAGTTTTCCTTCTACAATCGTTAACCTATAAAAAATATTATATATTCAATATTAGTTTTCTTTTAGAGGAATAACGTTTGCTAAAGTCAAATAGGCTAATCCCTCTGGTTTCATTCGAACCGTCATGCATAATCAATTCACCCTTTTCCGCATTTTTTTTTTTTCAGAAATTGAGAATGTAATTTTGTATAACGATTCGTGTAAATTATTTTCAAAAACTAAAAAAAACTACTTATTGGCACTATATCAACTGCAAGAATAATAATAATAAGTCACAATAATGTAGTTCTGGAGTTACTTTCTAAGAATTCAAAACACTTAGTCCACAAATTTGGCATATTTACTCATATAACTAACTCTTATATCATTACTGATCCAACAAGATCTTAAGTAGTTGTAGTGTTCTAAATGATTAATATAACAAAAAGCGTATTTACTCTCACTGAAAAGTTTATGATAGTAAATTGAAGCTATAATAATCGTAAACCTGAAAACCTAATAATGTGCTAATTGTGTGAGCGTGCTTTGGTTATCCAAGCAATGAAATTCTTGACACAAATGAAAATAGAAATTAAATCAATTTATAAATGATTTTGATTAAAAAACACACACACACACTCACGCCTGTCACCCAGAGGGGTAGGCAGAGACTACGGACTTCCATTTGGCGCGATCCTGACACACCTCTCTCGCCTCCTTTACATCCATATATCTACGCATACACGCTCGTCGGTTAAGGGTACTCCTAATCCGGCCCATTTTCAATGTATCGCCGATTTGGTCGATAAATCTTCGTCTAGTGCGTCCCTTCCCGACGCTGAAGTTCAAAAAATTCTGAAAAATAAATTTGCTTTGTCAGTCTTTCCTCGTTCACTCTTTCTACGTGACCAAATCACCGAAGCATTCCTTTCTTAATCCTTGTCACAACGTCATCTTGCAAACCACACTTTTCTCTTATCACACTATTTCTCACCTTGTCATTCAGATTCAGTCTTAGCATACTCCTTAATGACCGCATTTCTACAGCATTTATTCTACTCTCTATTCTACCAGACTCAACTTTCTTAACCCACATTCTTCAACTTTCAAAGTTTGCAAACAACTGTCCATAAATAGGTTAAACAGCCACGGAGAAGCTACACAGCCCTGTCTGACACCTTTTTGAATGCCAAACCAGTCCGAGTAGATCCCATTAATCCTGTCACAAGCACTAGAGTCCCATAAAGAGACTTCAATGCCTGTATCAAACCAGTGCTCAACCCAAATGAGGTCAGTGTTTGCCATAACATGTTCCTGTCCTCTCTGTCATAAGCCTTTTCAAAGTCCATGAACGTACAAAAAACTTTCTGGTTTTTGGCCAAGAATTTCTTCGCAATCATGCGCATGGAAAAGACTTGATCTGTATACCCCATCCCCTTTCTAAATCCAGCTTGCACATCTCAAATTTTTCCATCAGTTTCTTCCATAACTCTTTCAATTAACACCTTAGCATACAGTTTACCTACAATGCTAAGCAAGCTGATACCACGGTAGTTTCTACAGTCCTGCTGTGACCCCTTTCCCTTATATATTGGGACTATAACGGCTTTGCACCAGTCTTCCGGTACCCGCTTCAGTTCCCAACATAAATTAAATAAGGTGTACAGCAGGCCTGCAACCACACCCTCTCCAGCCCTTAGCATTTCGATTGATACTCTATCATATCCGGCTGCCTTACCTGCTTTCATGCTTTTCATTGCTTTCATTATTTCATCTACACTTATCTCCCTACCTCTCTCCATTTCTCTCGGAATTTCTATTTCTCTTAATTCAGACCACTCTTCACTCTTAACTCTTTTTATAATAATATTTAAAAATTCTTTTTATAATAATATTTATTATTAATATGTTAAATAGTTCTAATTTTGTTACATATAGAATAGAAGATATTTTTATACAGATTGCATAACATTGTGATTTCTTACATATTTGTGAACATGCATGATAATTGATGAAATACCACTTTTGCAGATGGAGTCTGAATGCGCTCAATTCATGGCCGAGCGCGCGGAACGAACTCGTTTGATGCACGAGAGACACGAGCAAGAGCTCGCGCAGTTCGACAATGAGAGCGCGCGCCTTGGTTTTAGGTAACCTCATAATTTTATAAAAAATATTTTCTCTAACATAATGTGTCACATGTGTGGATATTATAAATGACTTGCTATAGTATGTATATTGTTGGTTGATAATGACCTCCAGACCGAATTTTGGTCACGACTGCCAATCTCAACGGAAACCATCTGCACAAAACAGGATTTTAGTGCATGTGTGTATGTGCAAACATTAGGTAAGGTAAAGGTATTTCGACACAACTGGAGAGAGATCAAGCGTAGGATAAACGGCTTTATGTGCTTTCTGAGGCCCGAGGTGATTCACCAACAAGTGCCTGACTCTGGACTGCTACTGTGTACTTCTTGACATAAAAACTAGAGTTGAAACGGATATCCGGTAACTATCCGGTATCCGGCCTATCCGGCCCCAAATTACTATCCGGCCGGATACCGGATAGCAAACTGCTATCCGGCCGGATACCGGATAAAAAAATACAAAATATCAAATTTAGTTAAGTACTTTATTTATGTCACTTAACAAATAGAATCAGTATAATTACAAAATTTTTATTTGAAATCTTAGAAATTTAGTACTCGTACTGCACTAAGGGCAAATTATGGTGAATAAATACTAGTTTCTCTGCATTGAAAGGTAGCAAGCGGTTTCGCCTGTCTTCATAAACAAGGCCAGATTCAGAAAAAAGTCTTTCGCTGTACACACTGCTGCAGGGTGCTGAAAGATAGATTTTGGCAAACTTCGATAAATTTGGATATTGTGTAGCATTAGATGCCCACCAAATATAAGGGTCACGATCGCGAGCAATTCGCACTGACTTTAGATACAAATCAATTTCACATAAAATCGCGTTTCTTTCTTCATGATGAGATTGGCTAGTATTATTTTCATTTCCTACTTCATTGAAGCAATCCCAGAACGTGTAATGAGCTTCGCGAGATACAGCTGACACTGTCTCCTCTACTCTACTTTTTTTAGCCGGTGTTGACGATGAACTGGAAGACTCCTCGCTAGACATTTTTAAGTACTCCAGTAGAATTTCCTGGCGAGCTCTTTCAGCTTCAACCACTCCCAAGTAGTTTGTTTTGAATCTCGGGTCTAGATAAGTAGCAATCAAGTAGTTAGAGTCTTGATTTAAGCAGTTAAAACGACTCTCTAGTTCAGCTTTTAACGAGGCCCGCATGTGTGGTAAATCCGGCGTTCTTTGCTCAATTTCATCTTTATCTAAATACTTTTTTAAAGCAGTAACGTGTGGTATAACTTCCGATACGCAGGACAGACCAGAACTTGTTATTTTAGTTATTTCTTCAAAAGGTTTCAATAAATTTATACATTGCTCCATCAAACACCACTGTTGAGCCGTCAAATTAGTGAGTGTATCATGATCAGCAACAAACAATGATATGGCCCTCTTTTGTTCTAACAGACGCTCCATTAAATAGAAAGTGGAATTCCATCTAGTACTGATATCTTGCACCAACTGATGCTCGGGTAGATTTAGCTCTTTTTGAATCGCTAGTAGTTTTTCTTGAGCTAAGCCTGAATGATTGAAGTGTGTAACAAGTCGTCTTCCAGAAGCAATCATTGTTGTCACTTCAACCTGGGCTTTGAGCGACTCATTTATAGCTCTCTGAAGCGTATGTATGAAACATCTAGCAGAATCATACTCAGCCAAACGAACACCCTTCACCATGTTAGCACCACTGTCATGAATGAATAAATGTATTTTACTATGCTCAAGGTCCCAGCAGTTCGCGACAGTGTTAAGCTCTTTTGCTATATTTTCTCCAGAGTGTGAACCTAAGAAAGGCTTCATTGCAAGAACTCCATGTTCTAGTTTAAATTCAGGAGATACCCAATGGGCTGTGAAACTCAGGAAGCTAGCATTGTTGTGTAAGCAAGTCCATATATCAGAAGTCACTGAAATAGCGAAGGCACTTGACATGTTATTTTTAATTTTCTCATAAATTCTGTCATATATGTCAGGAATGATATTTTGTGTAATATAAGTACGGCTTGGCAATTTATATCGGGGTAAAGCTTGTTCCAGGAGTCTGGTGAAACCGGTTTTTTCTACAATGGACAATGGCTCGTTGTCTAATGCAATCATTTCTGCTATTAAATAATGGTACTTCCTGGCTTTAGCATCATTAACGTCCCAAAGCAATTTCCTTTCGAAAGTATCTGTTAAAGTCAATTGCCTATTTGGTACTGAAGATGAACTTGTCCCCGGGATGGCTAAAGAAGTTGTAGGCACGACAGCGGCAAGATCTTTATTCAGTACACGGAATTCATTTAGATGTTTTGTTTTCATGTGATTTTTCATGGCAGAAGTACCTAGAAAAAATTATTATAATTATAAATAAAATACCATCAACAAAACTCTGCTATATACTGTAAACGTAAACATGCCTTACAAATAATCAACAAGCTACAATTTAGGAAAAATTAAATCGACTTCATAGCTTTCACAGTTAATATCTTCAAAACTACTCAACAATTTTTATGAAACTTCCACGGTTCCTTAACTTGAAAAATACCTCATTCAAAAAAAAGATGGTTTGTTGTTATTATATTTTTTATGCGAGTCCATCAGAGAAAATTTCTGTTACTGTATTTGTCAAGTTGTTTTCTACGAATTCGATTTAATATATATAAGATAAATCTTTTCGTGTGTAATTAAATTACCTACTAAAATTGATTAAGCGATCAATTAAATGTTGTGGTTTAGAGCTTTTCGTGTGTAATTAAATTACCTACTGAAATTGATTAAGCGATAAATTTTAGTAGGTAATTTAATTACAACGAAAAAAGTAAAAACACAAACGCTAATATTGTTTGAAACATACCTGCTTTTTTCCCTACGCCGCCACGTGAAATTTTAACATTGCATAGTAAACAAACAGCAAGCTTAGGATCATCACTGTCTATATCAAAATGTTCCCATAAAAGCGATCTTTTCTTTATCGATGTCATTTTTGTCGTTAAATCTGTTAAAAATTATAGAAATCAAATAACAAAAGCACGTATTTTAATAACCTCAAACGATCGTGTTTGCAATCAATACAAGTCAATGAACCAATTGCTAACTTCGCTCATGAACGAAAATACCCGAAGTCGCCCGAGTCCCGCATGCACACGATTCCCACCACTAGCGCCACCTACGCAAGTTCGCTGCTTACGATGCACTAAACGGCAATGTTCGGCCGAATATCCGGCGGCCGGATATCCGGCTATCCGGCGATAAGACTGGCCGAATATCCGGTATCCGGTATCCGGCCAAACAGCTATCCGTTTCATCTCTAATAAAAACCCAATAACTGATTTTGACCCGACCCGGAATTTGTACCTAAGACAATGGCAGTCTTTTAGTTTTAGCTACAGCCATGTGGTATCTACAATTGTTGCTTTAAAGCAAGGCCTTGGTCCACCATTTTTATAAACCGCTTATTATATTGACCCAACTATTATCAATCCAAAAACGCAAATCATGTACCACCGTCAACGACTGTGCAATGTGTTGTTAATAAGTTGATAGTGCTTGGTCGAAGTAGTAGTATTATACCACGCTTGGGTGATGGAATGACCACAAGGTAGCTTGGGCACTTTGTTGCACATCCGTCGTGCTGTTAACTAATGGCTGACGAATGGGCAACTCGCAATACCATCCCTATACAGATTACCCCGTAGGGGGTGGGTAATCTGTGCATCCGTACCATGTGCTGAAGACGTCTGCACCAGAGTTGGTACCGGTTTTAACGCGTCTTTTCCGGTACTCCTACTCCCTAGGTGTAGTCCCGAACTCATGGAAGGTAGCTCTTGTGCACCCGATCCCTAAAAAGGGCGACCGCTCAGATCCGTCCAACTACAAGCTTATCGCTATCACCTCCTTGTTCTCCAAAGTAATGGAAACTATTATTAACTGCCAGATATGGTAACTTGAGGATCACCAGCTGATTAGTGACCACCAGTACGGTTTCCGTCGAGGTCGCTCAGCTGGTAATCTTCTCGGTTACCTAACTCATAGATGGGTGGAGGCAGTGGAGTCCAAGGAGGAGGTTTTGGCCGTTAGTTTGGACATAGCGAAGGCCTTCGAGCGGGCTTAGCACAAAGCGCTTCTTTCGAAGCTCCCTTTCTATGACCTTCCCGAGAAATTGTGCAATTGAATCACCAGTTTTCTTGCAGATCGGAGCATCAAGGTCGTAGTAGACGGAGCATGCTCCGATTACAAGCCCATTAACCCTGGTGTTCCACAAGGCTGCGTGCTATCACCAACGCTGTTTTTTCTGCATATCAATGATATGTTGCAAACTCGTAACATTCATTGCTATGCAGACGACAGCACTGGTGATGCTTTATACACCGGCCGTGCCAATATTTCTCGTGAAAATATCGCCGAGTACCGGAAGAAACTTGCGTCTGAAGTCGAAACTTTGTTGAACAAAGTCTCAGACTGGGTGCGTCTAAATCTAGTCCAGTTCAATCTCCAGAAGACACAAGTTGGCGCGTTTATCGTTAAAAAGAACCCCTTTGTCGTATCTCCTCAGTTTCAACGCACTCTCTTTGTTGCATCAGCCAGTATCGGAATCCTCGGTGTCGACATATCGAGTAACGTGCAGTTTCGTGGTCACTTGGAAGAGAAGGCCAATTTGGCTTCTAAAAAGCTTGGCGTGCTCAGCAGAGCGGGACAGTATTTCATGCTGGCACACCGCTTGCAACTTTACAAGGCGCAGGTTCGGCCTCACATGGAATACTGTTCTCATCTGGGGTGGATGATTGGCGGTCCACCACTGTGAGATTTAGAAGAAGTTTTCTTCCTCGCACAACTTCCTTGTGGAATCGACTACCACCAGCGATTTTTCCAGACCGATACGACTTAGGGACCTTCAAGAAAAGAGCCTACTCTTTTTTAAAATGCCGACAACGCATCTGCAATTCACTTGGTGTTGCAATTGTTCATTGGCGGCAGTAGTCACTTACCATCAGGTAGGCTGCATGCTCGTTTGCCCCCTATCATATAAAAAAACAGGCCGTTAACAAGTAAAATAATCACACGGCACAGCACGGGATAATCGTAACGTAAACTAATTTTTCAAATGTAGTATAAGATCTTGCCAAAATAAAGATAACAATTCAATGTCTGACTTTGAGTCGAGTTAGTGTACGATTGTTGTAGTGTGCAATTGCCGTATCAATATAACAAAACCGATGACACGATATAACAAATTATTTAAGCTTGAAATTCAAACTATGCTTTTTTCTTAAAGTGCAATGGCGATCGCGGAGGGCAGCCGGGAGGGCTACGGAGAGGAGGAGCAGTCGTTGTCCGGTTCCATGCTCTCGTTGGCACACAGCAACTCGTCGGCCAGCTTCCCCGCAGGATCGCTTTAATGCTCATCACACTCCACCAGTACTGTTGCCACCACCCACCACATGAGTTGCATCTCAAATGCAGTTAACGCACGTCATACAATTCGTATATTTCATGTTCACTTGGTATATAATTACAATAATTATTCAAGTAACGTGGATTATGCAACACTTATAATTTTATGATTGTAGTATTGTTACGTTAGATAACAAATATTTTAGTATTTTATTGTGAATTCAATAAGGTATTTACTATTTATTATTTTTCCATCATTATCTTATAATAAACCTCAAAAGCCAAGAAGCTGCCTCAAAATCAATATTAAATGTCATGCTATTCTTTGGACGGCAGTAGAATCAATTATACAAAGCAGATTACCATGCTAGTCTATTCAAAATTATATTCTTTCCAATAGAAAAATAATAAGTAAAAAATCATTATAAATAATGAAACAGTTTGTTCACACTGTTTTATGCTTAGATAATCTCTACCTATTCACTCAAATTATTTTTAAGAAGAACAAGACTAAGTACAACTGTGGAACAACGGTTTCATGTCGACATCGTTATATTTGTCAAGAAAATAATTCCGAACAAAATAATATTTATTTAACTGCATTTAAAAATTTTAAAACTGGTTACTCATAGTTTTCTTCACATACGAAGTCCTGTTTAAGAGAATATCAATTTGACAAAACTAGTGAAGGATAAGTATTAATTTAAATCAGGGTTCACCAAACTCTTCTGCCCGCTGTCTAACTATACTATCAGTCAATTAATATAATGAAGAAATGTGGTTTGACATAGTACTTAACATTATATATTGTAATGTTAAATGTTATATATTATGTCAAATCGTGGGATCAATAGAGGCGACAGAGGAGAATGAGACAGCAAACGGACAACAGCATCTTTCTGATAACGACTTAAAATAAAAGTTTTAGTTACCAACCCGCTTGCCAAGCATGGCAATTATAGTAAATATCCACCCTATGAGACAATATATTGGGTAGGCCTATATTCAGCAGTGGACTTTGACAGACTAATGAAAAGATGACTGTTCAATAAGGATTACTATTTATTTACAATACGCATGATTATGCTTATACTGGACTTCGTATTTGAAATTAACATAAGCTTTGTTAAAAATAGTGAATTTAGAATCTAATGTCATTATTTTATAGTGTGTTTCAATAAATACGGAGAGGCCAGTTTTGATGCTAATCAAATTTATTTATTTTACATATTCGAAAAAAAAAGAATAAAAGATGCACTCTAAATGTATACTTAGTGGCAACAGGTATAAGGTTTAATTTTCTCATTCTATTTACTGAGACTGTATAACAGCCCTCCCCATGGTGTGTTAACAAAATGATCGTTTTAAAAAACGCTATTTAAAAAAAGCTGTCATTGGGCTTTTAAAGCTTTTTAATTTAATTTTTGTTATGTCTTCCAAATGTTCGACAGTATTTGCCTAGCCAATAAATGGGGTTTGGGGGGCATTTCCTATTCTATTACACTATTAAGTTTATTGCACTCCATAATTAATTGTCTTGATGCATAAATATGTTTTTAGCATTTACTTATGAAACTTATGGAAATATCTTGAAATTAACAAAAAAAATATATATTGCCAACTGATGGATGATTCAATTGAATGAGGTAGTTTTAATGGATGCTTGAGATATTTTATTTTGCACGCTGGATAAATATATTTGTATGTTAAAGAAGATATTCGCGAGACTGGGAACGCATGATGTTATTTAAATGATAATACAATGACGTGAGAATGTGATGCTTTTTATTAGAACTTTTAATTGCAACGCGGCTCCATTCCGTCGTCTCCCTAACAAATAAAGAATTTAATATCACGGTCTAAATGTCAACAATGGTTAATGAAGATAAGAATGATAATGAACAGAAATATGTAAACTACACCGTCCATCAGAGAAGTGAAAATTCATTTTGTCAGGACGGCGGCAACGGAGTCAAGAAGACGATGGTTAAGCCTTAACAAACATCTACTCTTGTAGTGTAATAACGTAGTATATAATAAGTTTATGTAGTGGTTTTAGTGAATTTAAATTTAACAACTTGAACACGGAGGAAACCACGATAATGATGAAGGATATTTCCTAGGTTTTAGTATACTATAATATACACAGTTATGAACCGAGGAGTCTTGTCCCGAAGTGTACGCTTAACATGTTTGACAAAAGGCATTATGTAAGGACGGGTCCGCCTCGCGCCTCGCTTCGCGCGCGCTCGCTTACATTTCACAGAGAGAAACTATTATTTAATAACATAATTTTAGATAGTCAAAATTCTAATATTCATATCATTAGTTTTTACTTTAGGGACAATTTATTATTATAAGTTTTTTTACGTAGCGGACTGATCGTGTTTGTTTATTGGCCTAGAGTTGCGTTCGTCTATTAAATGTTTATACACATTTGTAACAACGCAAAACGTTATACACGTTGTAGAACATTTTTCATTGTGAACGACTAACACTTTATTAAATCGTTACAAAAATCAGGTGCTGTTACTATTTTATAACTGACTACTATGTTTTGTAAATATAATAAATTATATCTATATATATTATGTATGAGCTGAGCAAGCACACCATTTGCCTTAACGCGGCGAGGCGCGCGGGGTCAGGCGTTATGTATATAAAGAACAATAATATATAATTAACTATATACATAGTTTGTTACTTTTGTATGGTGCGAGTGTGTGTACATTGCGTGAGCGACGCGAAATGGTCCATATGGCCACAACATGTGCTATTTTTCTTTATTTAGTCTTCTAATACACTATTGTATTGTTTTATAAGCTCACCAGTCATGTTTGTATAGACGATTACATATTATTTAATTTAACGCCCATTTAGTCATAAATATCCAAATTTAGTTAATGCTATTAATAATAAAATCATAATTTTTTTACTAACCATACTCTTTTCCTATATCACATTGCTTGTAAGCATCACACGATGTGATCGTTTTGTATTATTTGACTTTGTTAGTGGTTTAATGTATAAGTATTTCAAATTCGACACCTAAGCTAATATAGATGTAAAATTATATAAAATGTTGAATGAAAATAGTTAGCTGTGTTTGCGTAACGATCGGTGGTGCAATGTCATTGCATTTTGATACCGACGATTGCACTCGCTTGAAGAAAAAAATTGAGTTATCATGCACTGATTTGAGATCAAATTAGCCTTCACTCTATCCTTCCCTCGACAGACCAAATAAATGACAATAATCTCTAGGCTGCCTAACTAGACTCGTCAGCTCGTCTGCTGGTATTGCGTGAACATTGTGCTGGTGTGAGAGTGCAGCGGTATCGTGATCGTAGTGATCGTAGAATGCCTTTACAGGTAAAAAATATACATGATAAAGCATATTTAGAAATTTTAAATAATTCCAGTCAGTCAGTCAGTTTGAAATACGGAGCAAATACAAAGAGTTAATTTAATTAAATTTCACTATGTTACAACGCGTGATAATTTGCGTGGTGAAGGGGTGTTAAGCCCCGCCCACTTAACTGTTTTCCATCTACCGATAAATAGTAATAAAACTACTCTCATCTTTCCATATCGATGTTGCAGTGTAATTTAGCTACCTTGACGACAGACGGCGGCCTGTTTACAAAATGCATGCAAAACTAATTTCAGCATATTCTTATGATCATTTTACCAATACTGAGCTCTACGTACCTTTAGATTTTTAATTCTCACGACACAGTGTCGCCATCTAGTGTCGAATATATTTAATTATATTTGAAAGCCGATGCAGAGATTTTTCTAGAACTATTGTAATAAATTAGGTATAAAATTACTTACATATGAATGCCATCCATAGCATCAGAGCGTCTAGTAGTTTTTACACGATAAAACACAACACTTCATCCTTTTCTTCTTAATATTACGAAAATACACCGATTTGCGATTTTCGACACATAAGCGCACAGGACGAACGTTGACAATATACTAACTAAAGCCAGGCCCACTGTGATGACGTCAGGACCTACTTAGAATCACAGTGCACAGTTGCTTAGGCCGTGTTCTCTTTGTATTTGCTCCGTGGATTGAAACGATTCTTATTTCTTGTTGAACGAAATTATCTAATGAAAAACTGTATTTAACCAGCAGAATTAAGGCGTTACGTTTGTAATGTTAATTTCGCATAAACATCATAGTTTTTTTTTGATATTATGCTCTTTTGCAATACCTCGGACCTTTGAGCCACGTGTCAACTGCGATAAAGCTCCTTCCATTTCAACTGCCTGTCCAAATATTTAAAAAAAAATTAAACCTGTTTGAGCATAGTGTTTCCGAAGGGCCAGATTACAGAGTTCCTGCCTCGCGGGTCCTGTGTTCGAATCCCAGCGGACAAAATAAGTTAGTTTTTTAATTGTGTGTATTGTGATCGTTTTGATACTGTATTGCATCGGGAACGAAGAGTTTAGGACGAGTGAAATTCATAACATGAGTGAATGCTGCGTAAAGTGAATAGCGAGTACATTTGTGGCGTTACAATTTCACCAGTACAGCTGGTTGTTGCCTTTGTTGAAATCTGTAGACATCTTCATCACAATGTCCCATCTCACATATTATCATTTGTCAGTAAAACTTAGTATTATCATTTTTCATTTGCAAGACACTGAGCTTTTTACTATAATTAACTAGCTCAAACTAAAAATAATATTGTAGTTTAATAATATTTATTTCATTTCTCACTAGAAATGATAAATATCCAGTGAATGTCCACTACCCCATATCGTCCCACGGGTGTCGACAGAGGGAAACTGAATCAGGAGATGTGCAGCAGGTATCCTCGTTTTTATTTTTTAATAAAATACTTTACCTCCACTAAGTTTTCTCCTGTATCGTGGTGGCAGTTTATAAACATAAATTGCACAAAGATAAACATTCAGACCCTTCCTGATAACAGCTGAATAAAAATAATATAAAAAAGTGTGGTCACCAACCCGCTTTCCTTCCTTCTATAACGCAATTTACGGGGGAGCCTATGTTCAGCAGTGGATTTTTGATAGCCTGTAATGGTATTGTGTGCGACCTAGTTGTAACTTGACTGTCTCCACCAGCTGCTCTCTAATGAGAGTAATCTGGAAACGAAGCACTGTGCAATTGACCTGTAATGCTGTAATTTTGCTTACGTGCATTAGATGGTCGATACTTTAGGCGTATTGCTTTCGATTGCGTAGTAACTCGGCACGAGACTGCGCTGGTGGTGTAAAGGGCATGACCGTCATGATCAACAAAGAAACAGGTATATAAAATAAAACGAACTTAGATTTTTGTTTGTTTAGCTTTGGTCTCTCTCTGTTGGCCTTACGGTCGGAAAAGGACTTAATGCCTTTCATAAATATGTATGTATTAAAATCATTTTGTGTTAATTAACATTACCCATGTGCATTTTATTGAGAAAACGTATTCTTTGTAATTCGATGTAACTGTACAAATTAGATTGCGCAGGTCCAAAGGTTCGAGTGATAGAACGTAGAGGCAATTTTCCCTTTAGTATTAGGATAGGATGTAACCGTCACCCAACCGGCACGAGCAAACAAATTATTACAATTTAGAAGTACCAAACTCGTAGTTAGCGATCACGTATTATGTACATTGTAACTAAATAATTTTTATATTTTACCATTGTATAGACGTTTATGAGCGTGAGGTAGGTAGCAATGGAGGTGCGACGGTGCGCGGCCGGCACTTTGCGGTTGGTGCGGCGCCAAACGCACCGTTGTTGTTTTCTTTTTATTTTATTTTGTTATATATTTAAATAACACAATCGACTTGTAGTTTTAATAATTATTATCATTAATTATTATATTGTAATATAATCTTATTAATGAAAAAAAAATCAAACTGAAAATAAATAAATAGAAAGGAAACATTATCGTGTAATTATTTCACAGCTCGTTCGTCGTTTACCTCTTATGGCCAGGTTTATACACTTACCAAGTGTCCACAAAGCAAAACGTGTCGCCGATCTGATAGTGTCTCTCCTCTCCTCTGAAATAGGAAATCGGCAGCAACATCTCCCCGGTAACAACACAAAAACTGCGATTGCCAACTCGCCTGCCAAACATGGCATATTGCAAAATGTTCCTATGAAGCAATCTATAGGGGAGGCCTATGATCTGCCTATGACTTTCAGCAAACATTTAAAAACCAAACGCAATAACCGAAACAAATTTGGTGTCCGCTATGCTTGTCTGATCGGAGCACACAGTACCTTATTTTAGTCTATGGAGCACACTGACCCCCCTTTAGGGATATATATGTTCTGAGACACTGACGCATTCAAAAGCTTACAACTTTATTTGTGTTCACAAGCGTGATGACTCGCAAACGCAAATGTGAGCCTAGCACCAGTGTTACCAACTCGAATTTTTCCAAATCCGTAGATGGGTGTAAAAAGATCTGCAGACTTCTTAAAAGGATCGAAAATTTTTGTTTTTGTCATAGAATAGATCAATTTTTGGAGAAATTATTTCTGTCATGTACATCCCCTCCCCCCTTCCCCAAAGAATGCCGTAAAGCACGGTCCTAAGCTACCTGCAACAAATGTCTTCCTGCACTCTTGTCGACGACTCGGTAAGAGTGCAGGCTGTCTAGTGGGAGACTGCTCTACACTGCTTACAGGTACGAGACTGACACTCAAGAACCTTTCTTTCCCATCGGTTGTCGGTACTTCGAGTACTAATCCGTTGAGCAATGTCGGTTATTCTGGTTCTAATGCTCATAATGAAACATATCGCGCTGAGAAGCTCTGAGCATAGCCCTCTATAATTCGCCGAACGACTTTGTACTTCTTCATACGACCTGCAGTGAAGAACCGCGTCTCAGATACACCTGTTATCACTGGCAACGTGTTTCAAGTTTTGTGTTATACGTGACAAGAAGATGTCGCAATCTCCCGAACGCTATCCAGCCAAGCTGGATCCGTCGATTGACGACATACTCGTCAACAATTTCAAACAGTGTGATGAGTGTAGGTGTAACATGGATGTTGTAGGCCATAGTTTATTATGAAAGTAAACTATGTTTTGCAAGTGCTACTGTCCATCTCCTAGCCTTCTTCTATCGTCTCTTACATCCATGGGATGATAATGGAGTAGTGGGTTCTTTGACGCCGCCACTACATGGCAATTAATTTACTTAAATTTCATGATAGCAAACATAGAAATAAAACACCAATGCAACTGTTTAAAAAATCTACTTCATTTAATAAATACAGAATGAATAAAGGTTATAATTTTGGTAAATGATTTTCAACTTGCACAAAGAAGTTCGTAAAAAATTTCTGTATATCATCTTTAAGATGCCTGTGTAAACACAATTATCAAAACTACTTTATAGCATAACATGACAGTGAAAGTAAAAATATATAAAATAAGATTACTTATTGCGACGTATTTTTTTAACTTTACGAACTACACATTATTCTAATAATGTTATATAATTACGATTTCATTATCCTTAAACGCTAACAATAATATGAAATTATAAAAAGTAAACCATGATTTTTGTTGTTGACATGCTGTATAATCTAAAAAACTTGCAGTTGTTACACTTTCTCTTCTAAATTTTAAAAATAAGAGATAATAATAAAAATATCAACCATTGACTTAAAAAAATGAACACATTCAAATAAAGAATAAACTGTAACTTTGTTGGTAAGTTTTTTATACATTAAAAGCGTTAATAGCTTTACTACACAATGTTAATTTAAGGAAGGAAGTTCATATTTCGGCGAGAATTTTTCGAGTCAGTGCTGTACCTTATATTTACATGATAATGTACTCGATAACATACTATCGACCTGAAACGATTTCACTTACGTTAATTAGTTTTCTTCAGTTTTCACATTGTCATAATATTTATTTAACAACTTAAGGAAGATAGTTTATTGTTTAAGTTTTAGTTACATATAATATTTTTATTATAATCCTCCTCAGTCCTTCACCGAGCTATGGAGAGGGCTACACTCAGTCCCTACGTGATAAATCCGTAACCAGGATCTCTTGACGTCAAACGCATAAGTAATCTGACGCGGAGGGACTATTATTTAGCTCGAAGAACAGACAACCGATGGGAAAGAAAGGTTCTCCAATAGTTCAGTGTCGACAAGCGCTATGTAATGCTGCCACCACTAGATGGACTGACGTCCTGATGAGTCATACAAGGAGTAATGGATGGCAGTCCCTTGGGTGTCGTTTGTTCAGTTGACTTATGATAAGCCGCAATGATGGTGGTTTACTATATTCGATGACGAATGATACAACGCCTGGAAGATTCATTTATATAGATGATTAGTTAAAACAAAACAGTACAAAAATGTATTCTACCGATTGGTATTTAGTAATCACTTTCAACTCAACTGTGTTAGTAGATATGTAAATGTTTATAAAATGTGTTATAATTACGTTTACTTCATAAATGAAATCGATTCAGGTTGCTGTCGAGAATTCTCCGCAAGCGAAGCGAGGATTAATATTCATAACAGTTTTACTCCATTGTTATATTCTTAATTTTCCCATACGAGTAAATGCGACAACAAATTGAGACCTTTTAAGAAAAAAAGGAGCTCAACAATTTGTTAGTGGTGGGATATTGAATTATTCTTCCAAGCTTCGCCTGTTCATTATCCCAGTTTACTGCGTGGGTGAGAACTCGGTGGGCTCCAGTATACGACAGTGCATCTCTCGTATAAGCGGCACTGTGTACGCGACACACTCGTCCCAGCCTGGGTTGCGCCATGTGCTTTCGCGAGTTTCACGTCGCGCTTGCAGGTTCTTGTAGCCTGAAAACGATGTGTTACCTTATTATTATACATCCAATCGCTAGTTTATTTTTTATAAAATTGAAGCAACAAACGGACTCACAGTCCACATGATGGTAAGTGCTGCTGTAGCCCATGGACACTTGCAACAAACTTGAAGGATAAACAATACGTTGTCATCTCTGAGAACTAAGATAGAATGCCTCGGAGCCTGTTATTATACTGATTCTCTTTAAACTTCAGACAGCAAAACAGAAATGTACTGTGACAACATGTAGTGTTTTGAAATATTAAATGGGAAAGAAATTAGTCTGAAAAATGTTTTTCAAATATCAACCTAACATTCATGTTGTTATCAACGGTAAGAGTTTTTCTGGGTCGATAGAAAAAAAAAGTGAGTGCCTCAGGGTTCAATTTTTGGCCCTTTTCTGTTTCTTGTCTATATTAATGACTTACCTATTACAGCTACACAGATAAACGTACAATATTATACACTGATGATACTTCATTAATTTTCAAATTAAAACGACAATTACTAAAATAGGACGAAGTAAATAATGCTTTATCTAAACTTAACAATGGCTTTCAATAAGTATTATTTATAATTTATATTGCAAATTCTATTTCTATGTGGTGCATCATACTGATTAACGAACAAGGCTCTTACGATCGGTTGAATGCGGAAAATCCACCTCAAACCTGTTAAACCCGTAAAATCAGGGGAGTGAAAAAATAATACAGCAGGCAAATTTTTGGAATTGTCCATTTCAAACCTCAAAACTTCTAGAAAAAATTATATAACATTTGCTTCAACGACTTCGATTCTGAAGTTAAGATTGGACAACCCTAAATCAAGACTTGTGAGTAATCAAAAAAACTTTTGTGTTCATTCCAGCCTCGATCTTCACACTTAAGCTTGGATCAAATCTTGGCGTCAATTTTATCACGTAACCTTTTAATTGGACACCCTCTTGGGTCGTTGTCATGTATATTTGGTAGCTGAAAATTTTCGCTGTGTCGAGGCGGCCAAGGTAATATCGTAACCTTTGTTGGATATTTTACGTGGTAGAGCCATGCTGCAGCTATATTATGGTTGTAGCACGAATGGGTCGGCTCGACCGGGGATAGACCACGCTCTCACAGAATACCAGCGTAAAATAGCAGCTTAATGTTGCTGTGTTTCGTAGGGTGAGTGTAGAGAACCGGAGACCCTTTTTACTGGAAACGAGGCACTCCATCTTAGTCCTCAGGGGTGACAACACATCTGCATTTTACATACATACATATAATCATGCCTCTTTCCCGTAGGGGTAGGCAGAGACCAGTTCTTTCCACTTGCTACGATCCTTACATACTTGTTTTGCTTCATCCACTTTCATTATTCCCTTCATACATGCTTTACGGTTTAGGGTACTCTTGACCTGGCCTTTTTTCAAGACGTCCCTGATTTGGTCTAGAAATGTCCGCCTAGGTCTACCCCTTCCAACACTTTCATTCACACTCGCCTTATACACTTTTTTCGTCAATCGTTCTTCATTCATTCTCTCGACATGGCCAAACCATCTCAGCATACCTTTCTCAATTTTTGTCACTACATCTTCTTTCAGACCACAACGTTTCCTTATCTCACTATTTCTTATCCTGTCACTTAGTTTAACTCCTATCATACTTCTTAATGCTCTCATCTCAACTGCATTTATTCTGCTTTCATGTTTCTTCTGCCATACCCAAGTTTCACTTCCGTACATGAGTGTCGGAACCAACACCCCCTCATGCACAGCCAAACGAGCCTTGTTAGACACCTTCCGACTGCTCATAAAGGAGTGCAAAGCTCCATTCACCATGTTTCCTGCATTCACTCTTCTTTCGATATCACTCTCACACTTTCCATCTCTTGTAAACTTTGAACCCAGATACACAAACTCTTTCACCTGTTCAATTTGTTCATCTTCAATCACAATGTTGCAGTCTGTCACTGCCTCATCTTTTTCAAACACCATCACTTTCGTCTTCCTTACATTCATCTTCATTCCCTTTCTAACAAAAGCTCCACTCATAGCAGTTACCATCTCCTGCAACTCCTCGGCCGAAGACGCAAGTAATACTTGGTCATCAGCATAGAGAAAACATTTGACGAGTAACTCATTCATTCTCAACCCACTTTCATTCTCTTTTAAATCTGTCAAACAATTGTCCATGAACAGATTAAACAGCCACGGTGACGCTACACATCCCTGTCTAACACCTTTTTCGATATTAAACCATTCAGTGTATGCCCCGTTTATCCTTATACAAGCACTAGAATACCTATAAAGAGATTGCATTACTCGTATGAGGATACTGCTCACACCGTTCACGGACATCTGCATTTTGATCGAGGATAAATGGAAATCAAAGTTGAATTCACTCCGAGACACAGAGATGGAATTGCTGTCATTTTATAATAAAGATGGAATGTCTCGTTATAAGTAGTGATACTTATGCGCATTAATTATTACGTATATATTAGAACTTACACCAAATATGATGTACGTTGTAGAGACGTCCAATTTGCGAGAAGTAACCAGCGAAAGCTTCGTTCTGGGAGCGTCGGTAAGTGAGTCCACGGGCCCAGTTGTTGCCCCACTCGATCATAGTACCCGGCTTTAAGCTGAAAATAATAACAAATAAAGGAGTTAGGTAAGACAAACAGATTTCTGGAAAAGATATTGAAGTAGCGATTGAATGGAACCAAGGTTATAAAATATAGATAATATGAGTTATATTGAAGCCGCTTTAAACTGCCGCGTGTATTTAGAGATCTGTGTTCGGTTGTGTGTAAGCTGATATAGTTAATTAGGGGTCACAAAATATATGGATTCGAATCCAATTAAAGTAAAACATTTTACAGAAATCTGTCAATACACTTATAGCCTCTCTGAGAAAATTATTATTATTTATTAATAAATTACTTGCCTATAGGATCTGATCTCGTAAATGTTGTGCGGCTCGCGTGGTTCACCGTTAGGCCAGAAGCTAAATGCCAGCAGATATTGCAGATGTCTGGACCGTACGAAGTTGCCCCGCTCCTTTTCAAGTGTGCGATACTCCTAGACAATATTACAATGTTAATATGGTATCTTTGATCCCCACGTAAATGTGTGTTGGTATTAATAATATATTGTATGTATGTGCAATTTACTTTTTCTCGCATTCATTACACCCTTTAAGTCTACAGCTAAACATAAGCCTCCCTCATAGATTGCATTATAGCGTCATTATGCCGTCGGTTCACACAATACCCGCGGGTTAATATGGGTTGACAACAGTAATATTTCAGCCGTCTATATATTTAAGGCCTAGATGTTAAGTATTATCTGCTATCTGCCTGCAGCATCTAGATTAAAAGATTCCACATCACATAATACTTTAAAAATATCAAAATAGAAAGACATAAGTTATTAATAATATAGAATACATCAGCTATTAAAAAACTGGAGGATATAATATTCTCCTATATTTATAAAGGTATCGGAGCATCAAGGTTGTAGTAGATGGTGCATACACCGACTACGAGCCTATTAATGCTGCACACAAGGCTGCGTGCTATCACCGACGCTGTTTCTTCTGTATATCAATTATATTCTTTTGTATTTCGACATATTATATGGTTAATAAGTTTAATTCGTGAAAAAATACGGTTAACCTTACAGGTCATCCCTGGAACTTCCCGCTAATTTCAAATGCAAAGCGCTCCAAATTATATCTATTATGACTTTTAATTCCACTTATTTTTAATCAGGTTTTTTTTTCACTTTTTGGCATAATTGAATATTTCACGAACAAATCAACCGATTATGACGAACTTGACGGCGTACGACGCAGATTTTTAAGCACTCATAGTTAATTTATTACATCAAAAACGATCCGACAAAGAATTTGAAAGTTATTTGAAAAAATATTTTTTTTGGAAATTTTTCGTTTACGATTTCTCTTCAACACACCAACCGATTTTGATGCGGTTTCCAGCAATCGACGGCGTTTTCTGCCGACTTCAAAAAGGAGACGGTACTCAATTCGACTGTATGTTTTTTTTATGTGTGTTAATAATCATTTATTTCAATCCATCAGATCATAGTTACCATTTGAAATAAAATTTAGATTTTGAATTACATATGAATTAAATTAAAATAAAATTGCATAATAAATTAAAATCATTAAAAAACCAGCTTAAAACCAAATTAATATCATTAAATATAAAAATCAATAATATGCTTGCCTCTCAGTCATTTGTTTGTTTGTCCTTACACTAATCATATAACAAAGATTAATGTACTGACAATCAAACCTGTACGTAAATACACTCAAGATGGTGTTGGAGGTGGTCCGGAGCCTGCGCCCCAGAAATGTGCACCGCTTTCGCATCGTCGTGTAGAAGCAGTCGGTCGACACGGGCGGCTATGAATTATTTAAGGCGCAGGTTGAGCAAAATGTCGCGCTAGTCGTTATTTGGGCGGTTTTTAGGAGCTATCTACTTTTTATTTAAAAGATATATCAACAAATAAAAAACACATTATATTTCTACATAATCTTGATTCCATAAAAGCTATATCCAATTTTTTTTTAAAGGAATAAATATTAATATAATCTCCTTACAACGAAACCACATAAATGTGAAATTATTATTGATAACATGCATCTCCTCGTAAAGTAAGTATTATTTTATTTTGCGATTTACACCAATGGATAGGCAATTTATTAATAAACATTTCTATAGTAAATTTTTTTTCAAAAGACCATAATTTGATTTTATTAAGAAATTATTTTAAAATCTGGGCATATTTACTGCTCACGGGCTTGCCGAAGTCAGTGAGCGCTGAGCTCTTCGACGTGAAGCCTGTGTCGTTAGAGCGTCGACCAACGCATACGCCACGTCATATGAGTCGATAATATTATTACTTATTAGGTTATTTATAGGTAGTATTATTTGTTTGTTTTGGGTATAATTTTTCGTATTAGTTATACATATATTTGTTGTGTTTTTTACTGCGCGATGAAGATTTTTGCGTGTATTTTCTTTGAAGTAAATGCAAATAAAAAAATGAAGCACCATTAGCATGTAAGGTTCGAATCCATAATTAAAATTTCGACAAATATTATAATTTACACTATAAAAGGCTAATTCAATATTATCATCATTACATCATCATCATTACAGCCCTTCACAAGTCCACTGCTGAACATAGGCCTCCCCCAAAGAATGCCACAAAGCACGGTCCTGAGCCACCTGCATCCATCGACTTCCTGCATATCTTACCAGGTCGTCACTCCATCTAGTGGGGGGACGCCCTACACTTCGCCTGCCGGTACGAGGCTGCCACTCGAGAACCTTTCTTCCCCATCGGTTGTCGGTTCTTCGAGCTATATGGCCGGCCCATTGCCACTTCAGCTTACTAATCCGTTGGGCTATGTCGGTCACTCTAGTTCTACTGCGGATATCCTCATTTCTGAGTTTATCACGCAGAGAAACTCCGAGCATAGCCCTCTCCATAGCTCGCTGAGCGACCTTGAGCTTCCTCATCCGGCCAGCAGTGAAGGACCACGTCTCAGTTCCGTATGTCATCACTGGCAACACGCACTGGGTGTACAGTCTCGTTTTCAAGTTTTGAGGTATACCTGACGAGAAGATGTGCCGTAATTTCCCGAATGCTGCCCAACCGAGTTGAATCCGTCGATTGACCTCTCGGTCGAAGTTGGACTTACCTAGTCGGACTATTTGTCCCAGGTAAACATACTCGTCAACAACTTCGAGCTTAGTGTTCCCAACAACTACCGGCATAGGTGTGACATGGACATTAAACATGATCTTTGTTTTGTCCATGTTCATCTTAAGACCTATCCGTTGGGAAACACTATTGAGGTCATTGAGCATAGTGCTTAGGTCCTCCAGCGATTCTGCCATAAGGACTATATCGTCGGCAAATCGAAGGTGAGTGATGTACTCGCCATTGATGTTGATACCGTATCCTTTCCAGTCCAGAAGCTTGAAAACATCTTCCAATGCAGCGGTAAAGAGTTTCGGGGATATGACGTCACCCTGTCTTACACCTCTCTGCAATTGGATAGGTTTCGTACTCTGGTTCTGTACTCGGATAGCCATCGTAGCCCTACTGTACAAGCACTTCAACACTTCGATATACCGACAGTCAACTTGGCATCGCTGAAGGGACTGCAGCACCGCCCAAATTTCGACGGAATCAAAGGCTTTCTCATAGTCCACATACGCCAGACATAGTGGCAAATTGTACTCCTCGGACTTCTGTACAATTTGCCGAAGGGTATGTATGTGGTCTATGGTGCTAAAGCCTTTTCGGAAACCGGCTTGTTCGGGAGGCTGGAAGTCGTCAAGTCTGCGCGCGAGACGATTCGTAATGACTCTCGAAAACAGCACGTAGACGCGGCTCAGAAGGGAAATCGGTCTGTAGTTCTTCAAGAGAGCGTTGTCGCCTTTCTTGAAGAACAAGACCACCGCACTTCTGCTCCACGCCTCCGGTGTAATGCCACCATGAAGGACGGAATTAAAGAGCTTCTGAAGGACTTCAAGTACCGGTTTTCCACCCGCTTTCAGAAGCTCCGCTGTAATTCCATCCTCGCCTGGGGCCTTCACCCAACCACAATATCTTATCAGGTATAGTACTGCCTCGTTGGTCTAGTGGTTGTAGTAGTGCGCCTGCTGATCATGAGGTCCCGGGTTCGAATCCTGGGTCGGGCCAAAAAGTCAGTTATGAGTTTTTCATTTATGTTCTAAGTTATAATTAGTATTACTAAGTTATAGTTTTTTGCTAAAATATAGTATATTATTTATTGCTTGTTTTTTCTTCTTTTTCAAAAAATAATTGAGTACATAAGGTGTTCTATACTTATAACTCGGTAAAAAGTACTAATATACCTACTTTTTACTATAAACTAAAAATTTTTAAAACTAAATTTAACTAAAAAGACTAAACTGACCATTTATTTTTTAACTCATAACAGGACATGGGTTTATTTATACTCTAAAAACTATAACTTTATACAATTAGTGTTCACTATAAAATTATATTCGGTATAGACGGTAATTATTAAATGTAACATATTTTTTTTAAATTATTAATTACATTTGTCAGTGGATTAAATTTGCTTTAATAAAGTTGGTGATGATTTTAAATAAGAATAAAATTCTGCTCAAGTTTTTTATTGTTATCTTTGTTAACAACATCGCCTTTAGAACTCTGGAACCGTAAGTGTTTCTTTCAGACGTCCACAATTTATGCAAAATAAAAAAATACTCTTTCTACCGGAGCATTCGTACCAGGTAGACATATAATATATTCGATTAAAAAAAATTATGTTGAAGATTGTTGACTTTGAATACTTCCATCCAATGAGTTACGGGACAATTTTGTGTCCCGGAGCTTTGTTTGGGGACAATGGGACAGGAGACCGAGAAAAGGGACAGTCCCGTTCAAAACGGGACGTATGGTCACTTTAGCTATAACCCGGCGACCATGAAGCAAATACAAAGTTAGTCTTTGTATTAGCTTCATGGTGGCGCAGTGGCTTAGCAATCAGTTGTTGCGCTGGGGGCCGCGGGTTCGAATCCCGCATGGAACAAGATTTGTATGGCCTACAAATAATTGTTCCGGGTCTGGATGTTTGTCTTTGTGCAATTTATGTTTGTAAACTGCCTCTACGACACAGGAGAAAATCCTAGTGTGGGTGTAACGTTTTTTTACAACTGAAATTGAAAGATTGAACCCTTATACTTCTTGTTGATTTTTGTATTTATATATTTTTTATTGCACCAAATATTTGTACAAAAGCCGAGTTATCTATTTATTTACCTATAATGAATAGGTATCTTTTAAACTCACAATTTTCAATGCTTCCGTTTTAATATATAATTAATTATAAAATTTCATAATTAGATAATATATGAAAATACATAATTCTAATATAACGCAACTAATATATACAGAATAAAAAAATTAAAATACATTTATCTTTGTACGCTATGTGTATTTCCATAAAATAGTTTATTGATGTTGAAAAAATAATACTACTTTCGTAC